AACTACATTTGCTATTATGACTGATATTCAAAATATCCTTAGTGTTGCAAGACTCGTGGTAAACATAACACTCCTAAACTTAGCAGCGTATGTTCAGTGGAAAACAAGAAGGCATTAATAGCAGCTCTTTGTGCCTAGCAAGTGTGAGGCCCTGAGTTCAAACCCCAGTGCCACCAGGAAAAAAAAAAAAACCACCCAAAAACAGCTCTTTCTTTTAAGAAGATATGCAGGTCACAAGAATGAAAAAAATTCTCCTGGCCATAGAAGAACATGTAAGCATCCACGTTTCAAGTACGATATTGTCTGTTTGATGCCTCCACTTGATGTCTAATAGAACATCCAAAACTCAGCAGTCACACTGAACTCCTAATTGGAAAATCCCAAACCCCCCACCTGGCTCTTTTAAGAAACTGTTTTTAAGAAAAACTATTTCAATTGGTAGCACAATTCCATATTTCTTGTTGTTCAAGCCAAAGATATTGACCTCTGATAAACTGCTCTTTTCCTTTCACATCCATATTCAGTCTGTCAGGAATCTATCAGTTTCACCTTCAAAATATATCTAGACTCTGACCACTTCTCCCCTCCTTCACTACTTTTTACCTTGGATAATTTACTTCTTTTTTGCAGTACTGGGGATTCTTTGCAGAACTAAGGGCTTTGTGCTTGCTAGGCAAGTGCTCTACCACTTGAGCCAAGTCCCCAGTCCTTTTGCTTGTAGATTGTCAGATAGGGCCTTGCACTTTTGCCTGGGGCCAGCCTCCAACAGAGATCCATCCTCCTATCTCCGCCTTCTGAATCAGGGGACCACAAGCACTGGCCACCACACCGGCTGTAAAAGCCTTTCAATTGACTCTGCTTCTGCCTCTGTCCACCCAGGGTTTATTCTCAGCCCAGCAGTCAGCATAGTCAGATCACATCACTCCTCTACTCAGAACCCTCTGGTGACTTCCATCTTAGAGTAAAAGCTCAAGTCCTAAGAGTGGCTACAAGCCCCTAACTGGTAACTCTCCAACCTCACCCCTCCTGCCTTTCCCCACCCCCAACTTGGCTCTAGCCACACTGGCCTCCTGTTGCCCTGGTGGCCTCTGCCTGGGACATTGCTCCTCCACATGTGTGCACGGTTTATTCACTCTCTCACCTCCTTCAGCAGGTTGAATAGTGTACCACCCAGCATTTCCATTCCCCTACTCTGCTCTGCTTTTGTCCCCATTTGTAATGTACTTACTTACTGTGTCTATTTTGTACTGTCTCCCACCCCCACCCCTAACTAGAGTGGAAGCTGCCTGAAAGGAGGGGTCTTTGCTTTTGTCCACCATTGCAACTCTGGCCTCTTGAGAGATGGCTGACATAATAGAGTATGGGCCCAGCATAACTGGTGGAATGGGTGAATCTCTGGTGTCTGCAACAGGGTATGGCATATGAAATGGGTTCATTCGTATTTAGTTATTGAAGGTAAGGGCAATGCCTAAGGATTTTATTTAGTCTGGGAGAACTTCCCGGTGGAGATGGGCTTGGAAGTGACCAAGACTGAAGAAAACGGAAACTAATTTGAGGAGCCCTAAAGATCCAACTTTCTCACAGGGATTTTAGAAGCTAGTGAAGGCTCCTGACCAGGGGCAGTTCTAACTGGGAGACTTGGAGGAGCCTGTCCCTCCCCTTTGCCCCTTCCCATTCAGCTCACGTGAGAGGTCGCTCCACACGGCTGCCCTGGCCTCCGATCACCTCTCCTAGGGCCAGAAACGCTTGTCCCAGGAAATCCTGCACCAGGACACGGAGTCAGCGGATGGGAAGGGGTATGGAGTCCCATCCCAGCCCTGGTGATGTTGCTCCTTGACCAGGGTAATAAGGAGGTGGCAGACAGTGCCAGAGCCACTGCCGGCGTGCGCTTTAATTAGCTGGGATGGGGGAGGCGGTGCCTGCACACCAGCTCTGTTCTTGGTCGGTCATGAGTCCGAGCTTGTTCTCATAATGCCATCCCACCCCTGTCCAGCCCCCGTCAGCCTCACCTTCTGCAGGTCCCAGCGGCAGCCAAGAAGGAAGAGAGCCAGTGAATAGGGGTGCAAGGAAGAGACCTGGGAAGGATCAGGAAGGGCTGAGGAGAGCGGGCTGGGAGCATGAAGAGGATGCGTCGAGGGGTGGGAAGAGCTCTTGGGAGGTGGCTTCATACATCTGAACGCCTTCTGCGTGCTGAGCCAGCCCGCGAGGGGCCCCTCGCTTACCGGTTTGGAGATGTTGGTTTTGGAGTCGACGTTGTACCTAGGAAGAGAGTGGGGCTGGTGGGAGAGAGGCTGGGAAAGGATTGGGCTCTGGGTCTTGGCTAAAATTGTGGGTGGAGGCTGGGGCAGCCTTGGGCCTGTATTCAAGTTGGGACAAAGCCTAGGCAGGAGTCTGCTGGGGGTGAAGTCATATGGGAGGTGGCTACAGCAGAGAGCAGAGTCGTGGGTAGGGCGGGGCTTGGGGAACGAACCGACAGGATGAGGTCTAAAGGCGGGGCCAACCCTGATGTGGGGGCGGGGCTAAGACCAGAGCGGAGCCCTTTGGAGTGGCACCAAGCTGGGCCTGGGGGAGGAGCCAAGCCGCGAGGCGAGGCGGGGGCGGGACCACCTAGAATTGCAGGAGGATTCAGGTCGGGAGGCGGGCCAAGCCAGAATTCTGGGCGGGGCCTCACACATCGAAGCGCAGATTTTGCTTTTCCTCAAAGAAATAGTCGAGGACGAACTTGCGCACGAAGTCTGGGTTCAGCGTGTTGTCAATCACCTCGGTCCGGCCGAACTGGGCGGGGGGGGGGGACGGAGGATCAGGGCGGGGTGTGCAGGGGGCAGGAGATTCCCGGGAGCGGCTCTGGGCTGGGAGGAGGCTCTCCACTCACCTCCCGCCACTCCTGGCTGGCCCGGCTCTGAGTGTAAAGCACCACCACTGCGGGTGGGGGCGGGGAAGGGAAGGATGTCAGGTCGGCCGGCACCCCACACTGCCCTCGCCCGCCCCCTTACCGCTATCCCAGTCCCCCCTCCCGCCTCGGAGCCCCGCTTACTGGGGTCAGACTTGGAGAAGGTGTCGAGGTCTAGCAGGTTCCTAGAGAAAAGCAACAGAAAGATAAGAAGGGTGGATCACTATGATGGAGTCCAGCACCTGGACGCTGCCTGCCTTTCCCCAATCACAATCCCCCAGCGTGCGTGTGTGTGTGTGTGTGTGTGTGTGTGTGTGTGTAAGGGGGGGGGGTCCTAGCTGTCAGCACTCTGGACAGCACCGGAAATTTCTGCCCAGGATCCATACATACCTCTGCGAACTGGATGCATACGTGCCCGCACTGCCTGCAAGGGCCCAGGATGGGGGGGTTCGCTCCAGAACTTTGTCCTCCTGGGGCCCCGCAACCTACCCCTTGAGCCCGTAGACTAAGCCCTCTTTTGTGGGGTGGGGCTGCCCAAGGATACCCTCTCCTCGATCCCTCCAGACATTCCCGTCGCCGGCCGTGAGTCTCGGTCCCCATTCCTCTCCCGGAGTCCAGCCCCTGGACGCACGGCCCTTGGCTGCTTGGGTCTGGGGCAGTGCCAGTGCCTAAGCCCTCCCCAGCGCGGCCCGCTCACCGGCAGGACACGGTAATTTCAATCTTGGTGGCCGGGACGCTGCGCTCGGAGGCTCCGCCGAGAGACATGGCTGGTCGAGTGGCCAAAGCCGCGGGGGGCCAGCGAGAGCCCGGCCGCCTGGGCTAGGGGCAGCGGCAGCGGCGAGGCCGGCCCATGTGCTGCTGCGGCTGCTATCCCCCCTCCAGCCTGCGTGCGCTCCTGCCGCTCGCGCCCTGACTGTGGCCGCCGGCGGCAGCGGCTCCAGATGGCAGCACAGCCCCGCCCGGCCCTGCGGGCGGCCCCCGCCCCATTGGAGCAGCCCGGTGCTGGCCGGCTACCCAGACCCCAACTCCGCCTACACCTTGGGAGACACGACTGCAGTGCTGAAACCCAAGCCCGAAGAACTATCCGTAGTACTGAAGCATCTGGGGTCTTTGTCTCTGAGTCTCTTCCTTAACAATGTTCCCCCCTCTTTCCATTCGTGGCTGCCTATGTCTCTGGATATAAAAAGTTTACATTTGCTCTAAACAACGGTGTGACCTTGGACAAGTTACTCAACATCTCTGGGCTCAGTCTCATTGACAGAAAGGCTATGATAGCAGCTACTTGGGGTACTGTAACATTTTATCTAGGTAACACAAGGGAGGGATTAGTAACAGAGTAAGTGCTTAATAATTGCTCACTGGTATTTGACCTTTGGGCACCTATCCTGATGACTTTTTATTTAGAATCACATTAAGGGGCTGGGAGAGCAGCTCAGTGCAAAGCATGTGGAAAGTTCTGGGTTCCATCCCCAAAACCGCAATAAAAATAAAGGCAATCAGTAAATGGTGGCTGTTTAACAGACAAGCCCCTCTGCTCCTGCCTCAACCCTTTTTTTTTTTTTCCAGCAGTACTGGGGCTTGAACTCAGGGCCTCCTGCTTGCTAGGCAGGCACTCTACCACTTGAGCCACTCCACCAGCCCTCTCTGAACCCTCTTGACACTCATGATGCAGTGTACTCCATGTCACACTGCATGAAAGTGGGTGGTCATCACGTGCACTGACCCCTGCCTCTCAAGCCCAGGTGCCAGGCCCGCCACCACAGGTAGGTTCTGAGGACTCCTGCACCAGGATGGTGCTGCATTGAACCTTGCTAAAGATGAAGTTCCCCAACCTGTGCAAATGAAGATTTCAACAACCCTTAGCAACAACTTCGTGTAGCAGTGGAGCATGCACAAGTAACAGGTGGCTGGGACCTGTTCAGGTTGGGGACCTCACTCCCACCTCAGTGCATGTCTCACCTTCATGGCCCAAGAGTTGAGAGGCATATCCAAGTCTCCAATTCTCTTCATGCTTCACCTCCCCCCTCCACCCCTCCCCTTCATTCAGCACAAAAGACAATGAGAAGTTTCTAAATAGCTGAAGAGAGCAACCAGATGAAGAGAACAGTTGTTCCAAAAGACTTTGATTTTATTTTGTGATTGGTGTCAAGTTGTCTCATTCTCAGTGCAGGTGACCCCTCACTCCAGGGAACAAGAATTGGGGGCTGGGGTCGTTTATGATGTCATGGCTTCCACAAGGCCTCAGGGAAACCCCACATGGTTCTGAAAATTGATGGGAATCCTGTAAAGACCGTGGTGGGTGGGAGGCAGTGACAAGAGTGGGTGGTGGTCACGAGTCAGGAGGTTGGGGATTGGCAAGCCCTGTCCTTGGCCCTGCTCAGCTTTGGGGCTGCTGTGTGCATGTCGGAGAAGAGGGTGTGAGACATCCCCATGGCCTCCAAATACCCCTTTGCCAGGCATGGCTTTGATTCCACTAAGGCTCAGCTGAGAGAGGAGCAGGAACCTGTTGCAGTCTGGTTGCATCACAAGGTGCTGGTGCTGGTGCCCCGGAGACCAACACCACGGACAAACTGTTCCAGCAGGCCCCCAATGGCACCAGAAGGACTGGGGGCTGCTGCCCGGAGCCCCACGGTGCTGCTGTATGCAGCCAAGAAGGCAGAGCGTACCTCCTGCAACCGTGTTTCCCGAGCACTCAGGGCTGCAAGCCTATGAGGAAAGAGGGAGAAAGATGACTGCATTAGCCCAGGACAGGATCTGACATCTTCCTCACTCCACATAGCCCAGCCTTGCACTTCTGACTGCACAAAGCCAGCATCTATCCTGTGGTCATACTATCCTTGCAGTTCAAACTTCAAATATTTGGCCGTTTTCCCTTAAAATAGTTCCTCACAGTTCTCAGGCTCCTCTTTCCACCTTAAAGCAGCAACTTTTGGTGAAGCACTGAACTGGACTTTCTGCTGGGAATATCACTATCCCTGTGATGATGGGGAGGGGAGAAGCTGAGCAGGAGGGAAGCTGCCCCCAACAGCTGTTGGCTTCCATTCCTCAATGAGAACTAAGTGCAGCACAAGTTTTATACCTGCAAAAAGGAAATGCCTAGATCTGGCTGGCAGGCATCAGCTGTTGGAAGGCCTCACCTTTCTTGAGGCCAGGACCTGACACTTCTTTGGAGGAAGCTCTGGCCCTGGAAGACCCATCAACTGCCCTGGGGAGGCCAAGGTCTCCCAGTGGAAACCTCCCAGGTTTTAGCTCCATGTTTACTCCCTATGGTTCCCAGAAACAGCTGAAGGGTGCTGGCTTTTCCAAGTGATTTGTGTTCTGATTATCTTTTTCCTCCCTTAGCCTCTTTGGGCACGGATCACAGGTGAAGATAGGAAGCCCCTTTTCTCTCCTTGCCTGGAATTACAGGTCAAGAAGTGGAACAAGTATACACAAACTCGGACTTATCAAAGTGTGAAGTCCATGTGAGGCTTGCCAAAGGGTCTTTAATAAAAGGCCTAAAATATCAGCTATACCCAACCTGTGTAGTCAGGTGAATTACATGCATGATGTTCCCCCAGGGGGTCTGCTGGAGAGCCCTCTCCATGAGCCACAGGCCTCCATGAGATGAACCTCCACATTCCTACCTACCTTTAACACTAAGACTAGCCAGGGCCACTAACTCATCCCAAATCCCACGCCTTGGGTTATCCCTTCTTGGGAATCTGTCAAGTGGCAGTGGCATTCCTAAACCCAGAGCTTGAGGCAGATGGAAATCTGAGGACAGTGGTTAAGTATGGTGAGGATAGACAGGACCTCAGGGAAGTAGATGGGTGGGGGTAATCTGTGAGAGACAGAGAAGCTGCAGGCTCTGGGAAAGGAAGTCAGACAGCTCCCACAGCAGCATGAACACACACACACACACACACACACACACACAAAACCTGCAGGGAGGTGGGAATGTAGGAGAATGATAGAGTAAATCTAATTAAGATATATTGTAAGCACATATGTAAATATCACAATGTATCCCCCCTGTATAACTATTATATGCTTTTAAAAAAACAAAACAAAACTGATGCAGGACTCCTGCCACATAGGAGCAACTCTGAGGTCTCTGCTGGCATTGGGGAAAACATGTGGCCCCAGACCTTTACTTTCTAATTAGGTTTCACACAGGCTGGAGGCCATGTGTGCTTTCTTCTTCTCACAGCAAAGTAGAAAAATCAACTTGTTTGTATCCACACAAGGGAAATCCACAGGTCCACACACATGCATTCTCACTGCTCTCCACTTCTGGGAAGCAGAAGGTACCCAGACCAAAATAAGCTGAGACAAGAAAACTAAAGCCCAGAAAGGACACACAGACGGTGGAGCTACCAAATGCCATTCTCTCTCAAGAGCTGAGCTAACAGGCTTGGAGAAATGAAGGCTGAGACCTCAAGACACAGCTGGTGAGCAGAGCAGCTAGGATTTGGACTGTTTCCCTGATAACAAAGCCTTGTGACTTCATCAGGAACTGACACCAACCCCAACCCACAATCCTAAAGGTCATGAGATCACACAGGATCTAGCGGTCGTCTGGGAACTTCAAGCTCAGAGTGCAGTCTGAGGCCCAACTAGTAGGTTCTGGACTGGGTGACCTGGAGATGGAGCTGCAGTGGCTAAATAGGTGAGGGATGCTATTGAGCAGGGCAGAGAGGTCTGTGTTGTCTCCAAAGATGGCTCCAAGCCAGTCTGGCTGAAGAGGAAGTCCAGAGAGGTACAAGGACATTTTTTTAATACTTCAAAAATCCAAGAGATCTTGCTTTAGGCCTAGGGGCCTGGCTGCAGAGGCTGGCCCAAGCACAGAGGTCTTGGAAGTGCTATGGTGATTTCCTAGCTGTAGGGCCAGGACCTGCGAGTACCCTCCAGGAATGGTGTGGAGGTGACACAGGCTTGCTGATGGGTCCTTTTGGCAGTCACATCTGAGGAGCAGGCCCTTGGCTCCCAGGACATGGGCAGAAGCCCTGCCTGACATACACGTAAGGAGAGGCAGGAAGGGGGCAGTGGCTTCCCCAGAGGCAGCTGTCATGTCAGGCAGATATACTGTAAGATTTGGAGGCCCAGTTTGGAAACATGGAGGAAGAGGGCTTATAGGCATGTGATCCAATATTGCCATCCAATTCTCTTTCCTGTCAAGAGGCAAAAGTAGAAGACAAGGTGGGGGTGGATGTGAGGCAGGGTGGGGAAATAACCCTTGGTTCTGCTTAGGAGCACAGACCAGGACTAACCAGAACCGATCTGGCTTTCAACATACACCTACCTTCCTACCCTACTGTTCTACTTTCAAAGGATTCTCATGTCAGGCAAAGCCTTGTACAGGAATAGAAACTTTTCAGCTTCCCCTCAGGGTACACCTGACACTTCCATGGATAGGTTTTGGAGGCTGGGAAGAATAGACATGAACCCTAACACACTTCCTGAGTAGCCCAGGGACATCCTTTACACCTCGGAAGAGACCCGGCAGCTGCAAGTAGGGGCCCACGCTGCTCCCTGTGGCTGGCCTTCACCTCATTCCTGACTGCTCACCAGTTTCTGATGGGCAGGGGAGCATCCTGCCTTCTCAAGCAAGACACTTACAGACAACTGTTAGGGAGCTCATCCGGGAAGCTGAAAGGGAGAGAGGAGTCTGTGTGCAGGACAGCCCGTTCCTGAATACTGCCACAGCCCGTTACCATCTGCCAGCTGCCAAAGTCTGTGGAGAGAGAGGATCCGGGCAGGGGATGGTCCACTGATCTGGGGCAGAAAGGAGAGAGAGGGGAAATGATGCACAGTCAGTCACATGCCTGACAGGGGGCTCCTGGGGAACACAGTGGCCCTGGGCTATACTTGTAAGGTTCTGTTGGAGCAGCCGAAAAGTCAACCACTTTCTCCAAAAGTGCAAACAAAGCTGGGGAAGTAGTGACCAAGAAAGAAGAGACCACAAGATGCATCTGGCTGTGCTTTGTGCAGACAACAGAAGCAAAAGAACAAGAGCAAAGCAAGATGACAAGAGACAAGCCAGACTCAAAGCCTGGAGAAAGACATGATGCAAGAAGTACATCTTCAACAGCATGGACAGGGAGGGAGGGAGCCAGGCTGGTGGACCAGGCCCCAGGGCCAGTCACCCACTCTCTCTGACCAGTAGATATGCAGGGTGATCTGATCAGAAGTGAGGGAGGACAGCCCTCTTGGGGACTTGAAGGGTGGTAACTGAAGAGTGGATAAGAGCCCCGAGGTTCCCCTTTCTCTGCAGCACCTTCCAGGACCCCGAATTTGTACTCAGAAGCAGAACTCAGCAAACTCATGGGCCATGCCAGAGGGAAGGGATGAATCAGGCAGGCAACTAGATGGCTTCATCATGCCTTTTTCTGATGGAGGTTTGGGGGCAGCGGAGAAAGCTGTGCTGATTATCTATGGCTGCCGCTTCCTCTCCACTCACAGCCAAACTTTCTTTGCTCTGGGGCAGCAGCCTGGCCAGTGGGGGACAGGGAGGAGACACGGAGACACCAAGCAAGGATCTCCCTATCAACTACCCCAGGTCTCAGAGGTACATCATCTTTGGCTCCAGAAGAGTAGAAGGTGCTCCAGTAGGGACCAAGAAACAGGGCCAAAGCACAAATTGTGGTGGGGGTTGTGGACAGAGAAAACCACTCACTGACCCTGGCCCACCCAGCTGGCTGTCACCAAGGGCTTTCAGAGGTGACAGCCCTCACCAGTCACTGGGCCAGTCTTGTTGTCAAGCAGCTGCCATCTGAGTGCAGCTCTGGCCAGGCACTGCAGCTTTGGTGATCCTTAACTATCCTGTTGCAGATGGGGAAGTGGCAGCCTAAATGAGTGATGACACTTGCCCAAGGTCCCACAGCCAGCAAATATAAGAGATTTTTAAACCCAAGTTTGATTGCAGATTTTTCCTGAAACAGAACCACCTTGAGATGAAGGAAAACAGATGGTTCTGTACATTAAAGCTGCAGTGAACTAGAACCCCGTGACATACAGACTCGCCACATTTCATCATTGTGGCTACACTCTAGAAGGTGTGTGATGGCACCATTAGGGACAAGAACAGGACATGGTCTATTAACCTGATTGGAAGCCCCTAGGACCTGACAAAGCAGGGCTTGTTTCTAGACATAGAAACTTGGCTGGGCTTAGGTGGTCTATAAATCAAAGAGACATCTTCCCAGGACAAGCCTAACCTGGTCGTCTTCCAGGATGCACCAGGCCAGGCTCCTCAGTCTCCCCTGTGGTTCAAACAATAGGGGAGAATCTCTTCTTATGTGAAAAGCAGCTTTTGGGAAAACACTATAGGCCAATATTGAGAGATTCCTGGAGCACGGAATCCCCCACTGTAGATTGAACCCAGGGCCTTGTATTTGGTAGGCTCTACCAAATCAAGTGCTCTATCACTTATCTATGTTCCCTAGTCCTTTGCTTTTGAGACAAAAATGTTGCTAACTTTGCCCAGGTTGGCCTTGAACACACAATCCTCCTGCCTCTACCTTCCAAAAAGCTGGGATTTAGCAGTGTGCCACCACTCTGGCATGGGAAGTTCTTATGCCCCAAACCTACTCCACTAAGGCTATCAATAACCCTGCCCAGAGCAAATCCACACACAATGGTATGCAGTTCCAGCCTGGTTCCCTTTAAGGACTTCTAGTCCCCTAGGCTAGTCACTTCCCTTTGCTTTCCCAGAGTCCCAGCAGTAACACCAGGGAAGAAGTGTATGGTGAGCAGCTCGAGGATAGCTGTTAGATAAATTACGTAGCACTAGTGTCAGGAAAGAATGTGATCCTGTAGGACAGAAAAAAGCTCTCAGAGCAGCTCTTTGATAGACCCTGAAAATAGGTTCCAAATGAATCGTCCTACTTGAGGCTTTTGTCAAAGAACAGGCAGTAAAATGAACAGCTCCTGCACTTGATAGCAAGGGCCATGCTAAGTAAACAGGTGCTCAGAACTAGTGGCCTGGATTAGCTGGCTACAGGGGCCATCTGAAGACACCAAGGAAAGAGTCACCAGAGAAGGGCAGAAACTCTTGTCAGCCACATACACAGGTTCACCTGAGTGGCTTGAGTGAGATCCCGACTCTTCCACCTGTACTCCTATGTAAGTGCGAACAGATTGCAGAGAGGCCTGAGCCCCACTTCCACTGCTCTTCTGCTACGGGGCAGAAGCAGCCCTCAAACTGCAGAAAACAAAGCTTCAAAAAGGTTTTGTCCACATCTTGCGGCAGTAGGGTTTGAACCTCTGCACAGGAGGGTGAATTCTCAGCAACTCCGCACTCCCTTAGCCTAGCACAGCCCAGGCCCTGCTTCAATGACTCTGAGGCCTGCAACTTCCAGCCTCCCTCTCCAACCAGGCATCCTGCCCAGGATGGACAGAGAGAACACACCTTCTAGCTAGTCCTTTCTGGACAGGGATACCAAAGTACTAACACAAGCAGATCTGGATAAACCCAGGCAAGAATAAGGAGTTCTGGGTTGAGTGCCTGGCCCTATGCCAGTTGCTGGGTGCCTTGAAGCAGCGCACAAGTCCTGAGATAATGACCTGTGGTCTTTAACCACAGCTATAGCTTAGTGAACACTTATGAAAAGGATGAGTATTTACTATGTGCCAGGCATTTCACTCCATTAGCTCATTTAAACCCAAATCCGGTATTTCCCACTTTAAAAATGGGAATGAAAGAAAACTGAGCTCAAAAGGAAAGTGATTTTTTACAAGTCACACAGCTGGGAAGGGAAAAGCTGTGAATGAAACCAGGTCTGGTCAAAGGCTATCCAATAGTGAACAGCTTTTCCTTCTTAATAAGGGGTGGGGACCTCAAGGGCTGGTTCATGAAAGGGCATGTATCCTTAGACCAGAGTAAAGCACAAAGCTTTTAAATTGACTGAAAACATAAGCACTCATATGACCTTTGGATGACAGAAAGGAAGCAGGCTGTTGTCCTAGGAGCTTCTGGCAGCCACTTTGCCATGATGAAGGAAGCTGGTGAGAATCACGTTGGCATGTGGAAGGAACCACAGGCAAATGGAGTTAGAACCTTGATGGGGCTAAAGGTGCACTTTCCACTGGACTCTTCCATATATTTCCCTGATTGTTTAAACTAGTTCAAGAGGTTTCCTGTCCCTTGCATTTGAAATGACAAGTCCTGAAAGACAACTAGGAGGGTCCCGGGAGTTGCCTGTCTTAGGACTCTGATGACACAGATTAGAAAATGAAAACCCAAATCATTGAGTGATACATATAAAGTTATGAAGTGAATTAGTAGATTGTTAGGGGCCTGTTTGACTCATAATCCAAACTAATTTCCCCCAACACCAATCCTCAAACCTCAATGAGATGTTTCCCAATGATGGCTCCCTACATAGCCTCTGCTCAAGTGAACACTACCAGGAATGGAGACTGGCCCTTTAACCATGGCATAGGTGTGCATGTCAACCCACCAAGGACTTCTGCATTCCTATAGCACCCCAAGAAGTATTTGGGGCTCCAAGTTTTCTCCTCCCCATCTCAAGCTGCTTCTGGGCTTCTCAACACTCTAGCCAGATCTGGAGCAGAGGCCCAGGCAACCACAGTCAGATATGGGACAGGAATCATGTGTTACAGAGAGCAGCCTGGCTTCTATGCTTCATAAACACAGCCTGGGATAGAGCTCACTACTTTTAATAAGCAGTTAGCAGGTAGCAATGGCTGGGGGAACAGCTAACTGGGCAGCAGAGGATGGTTCCTGGGTTGCTATTTAGCTATTCAACCAGGCTGCTGGATGTCCCTCTTCAGGTGGCCTGGCCTCAAGCTGGGCTCAGTGGGGGCACCATCCCCCTTGGGCACAGATGATGCTGTGCTAGCATCCCCCGCCCCTGACAGACATCCGATTCCAGAGTAGAGACCAAGGCCATGTCAAGTTGGAGTGGGGTGATCTCTAGCCAGGGCTGGGATAGGCATGTGAGCAGAGCACTGGTCCTGTCCTTCCCTACCCCCATCCCTGAGTCTGATGCTGTAGTGGCAGCAAATACTACTAAAAAAGCACCAGTCTTCCCCAGTGAGGAATGTGGAACTGGGACTTGGCAACAATCAGCAATCCACAGAACTTTCCTCCCAACCTGGCAACACCTGGCTTCTGTGAATAAAGCATCATGGATTCCGTTCACAGGGGAGTTCTGCTTGAAGAGATAGGTTTGGAGAATGTGGAACATAAAAACCCAAAGCACTCATGCTAGGAGGAAAGTTCGGCTGGCACAGCTAGCTTTCCTAAAGGGTTGCTTTCCATACAGCTCCTCCTGCTGCATTAAAAACCTTACTGGCTACTGTTACCTAAGAGGGAGAACAGCTAATGACAAGATCCCTTAGGCACTTTAAGATAAAAGAGATTAAATTAATTTTAACGTTAATGGAAATACATAATTAGACTGTTCCAAATCAGAATACTCTAGTCTTTCAAAACCTCTGGCAAACAGACATCCAGTTGAGAAGAACACTAGCCAGCCTGGACTGGCTCTAGGCAGGGACTCCCAGAAGAGACCAGAAGAGTCATCAAACATCTCAAAGCAGCTGCCCCATCTGTTGTCTGCAAGGTGCTCACTTAGGTCCAGCTATGCAAGTCTACTCCCTGACTATAGGGCTTTGAGGCAGGTGGATCCTCCAACCCTCCTCAGCCTCATGAGGAAGGAATTTGGCCATCCTTGAACAGCCAAAAGTTTGAGTTATCCAAAGCAGGCAAAAAACCACTCATTAGGTTGGAGGATACTATCACAGGATTTGAAAACACAATCTTTTGGCAGGAAGAAGGGACTGATAAAAAGCTGGGGAGTGGTAAAGGCAATAGTGCTGGTCAGCATGGGAGCTTCCTGCACTTGGCAGAGTTAGGAAGGAGTAGGGCTCAGATGGTAAGAGGAATCTTCTCATTTCCTCCCCTACTGTCCCCAGCAACACCTTACAGGCAGAAAAGGAGGTAAGAACCATGAGCAAGAGTTGCAGCCAGAACAGCAAGGGTCCATAGTGCCACTGCAATGCTGGAACAGCCCCAAGGACAGCCAGGTGTGCAGACTAGGGGGTATGGTAGCAGGCTCATGCCAGCCCTCCACACAGGACATGAGCAGGCACTGTCTCTGCCTAGCTGCACCCACCACAACTTCCATGGGGCCAGAAGGCTTGTGGTCTTGGTTTAAAACAACTCAGCTCTGGCACTTGCAGACAGCAGTGGGGTGACAGGCTCACCTGCAGGGATGAGCCACAGGACCCTCTGGCCAGTGCAGTACGGAGCTCCTGCTTACCCTCCCTGTGGAGGATACTCTGTACCCTCTCATCCACTGACTGCTCTTCTCCAGAGAAAGGGGAAGGGGAGATTCCAGAAGTTTTAGAAAGTTTTCCCTTGCAACAGGCCTGTTACCAAGGAGGAAACTGAGTCCTAAAGTTATAGAAACATTACATGGCAGAGCCAGGCTCCAGTCTGGCACCAGTGCTCATGCTCATTCTGCTGAACACCCCATTGCCCTGGAATTCATTAAGAATCTCTTAAGCTTCACACTGCTTTGTTCTATCCAGAAGGACTAGATGTTCTCAAAGCTTTAGAAAGCACAGCAATTCACAGGATCCTGTTCTTAGTGGGTATGAAATGGAAGAAGTGATACTATCAGCTGAATACTTTCTCAAGTGCCAGGCCATCCCTCACTCCCAAGCCAATGCTCAGCTCTTTAACGTCATCCAGCAGGCAGCATCCCTGAATGTGGCCACATCCCAGGCTGAGCTGTAGCTTCTCCAGATGTGCAGGCGTGCTGTGGTGTCTCACAGCCACATATGTCTAGCCCAGCTCCCCAATGCCTGTTCTCCTCACTGCTCCATCAATGAGGACATGGACTACGAAAACCAGAAGGGACCCAGAGCATTTAAATTCATCTCTTCAAATTGTGTGATCCATAGGTGACATATCCAACCACTTTCCGGATTCCCTTGGGCTGGGCAGGTCTCCAGGAAGGTCTAACTTCTCTATAAAATAGCTCCATTTTGTACCCCAACACTAACACATCTCCCAAACAGTGGGCCCATGGGAGATTGTCCATCTCCTCTGGCTTATACGTTTGGTACCCAGCAGGCCATATGCCAAGGAATCTCCCACTGGAGACACCAGCTCAGGTACTGGACCCCCCACTCCCACCACCTTCCCCTTGTCTGGGGAAGAAGCTAGTCACCTTCCTCAGCAGGGTCCCTGAGGCACCTCACCTGGGTTTCGGGACCTCCAAGGGACTGCTTCCCATCCTGAAAAAGTTGTCAGAATGGTTTGAGGATGAAGAACTGGAGGACCTGGCTTCAGCCAGCCCGGGGTGGGAAGGGAGGCGGTCCTCTGAGGGCTGCGGGCGGTTCCAGAGCACACTCTGTGGGGAGGATGAGCAGCTTTTCCTCCTGCAGAAAAGTAGGGCTGTTGGCTAAGGTCCCCTAGCAGGCCCAATACCTATATGGTGCCCAGAGCCCACTTTCTGTCTACAGAAAGATGTTCCACCTGCAGTGGGCACATACCTGGCATTTCCTTAAACTGAGCTTTACAGAGGGGCTGCAGCATCCAAATCACACAGGCTCACCAGCCTCAGAGGACATGCCAGAAAACAATTTTTTTTTTTTTTTTTTTGCAGTACTGGGATTTCAACTTAAGGGTCTCATGCATGCTAGGCAGGTGCTGTACCACTAGACAACAACCTTTTTTTTTTTGTGGGGCTGGGGTTTAAAGTCAGGGCTTCACACCTGCAAAGCAGGTGTTCTACTGCTGAGACACTCAACCAGTCCATTTTGCTCTGGTAGTTTTTGGAGACGGGGGGGGGGGGGGGTCTCACAAACTATTTGTCCAGCCAGGGTGGCCAAAAACTGCAATCCTCCTGATCTCAGCCACCCAAGTAGCTAGGACTACAGGCTTGAGGCACTAGCAACCAGCTCAGAAAACAATTCTTAACAGCACAGAAATTGCCTCCCTCCCTACAAATACTATGCAAAATCTGCCATTTATTTAGGAAGACATTATAGCCTTAGATTCCATCATGTACTCAATAGGGGTGGAGTGGTGGTGGGGAGGTGCTCTGACAGGTCCCATTTGCTAATCAAATTTCCTTTCTCTAAATTGACTATCTCCCCAGGCACAGGGTTCAGGAAGCTCCTCCAGAAAGCTCCTCTTTACACCAGACTCCCCCACCCAGGCATTTTTCAGTCCCACAGGGAGTCCCAGCACTTTAAGCTCCTGGACCATCATGCAGTGCTCCTCACCAGCCAGATGGCTGGCCTCCAAGACCTAGTACACACAGCAGGAGGTAAGACCTGGTCCTTCGGTCAGGGTCCCCTTTGTTTCTGTGGTTTGGGCCTGGCTCCCTGTGGCTGGTGGCCCTGGGCCACAGCTCTGAGTGTGTTGTCCCATTCTGGCCTCTCACCAAGCTGCCTGGGTCTGTGCTCCTGCTGGGACCAGCTCCACAGCCTCGTAGGTGAAGCTCCCTGCGGCACCTGGGGAGCTCTCCATGACCAGGGAGAAGTCGCTGCCCAGGCTGGTGGTACTGCCACGGTCTCTTCGTCCTGAAAGAAGTCAATGCCACTGGTAAGCATATTATATTCTCTTCATTACCAGTCACCACCTCTTCCACACCACGCAGATGGTCAAATATTTCTAGAACAGTTCCTGTATGGTCTATACTTGGAAAACTATGCTGAGGAAGGGAAGCAAGCTGGGGTTCAGGACTCACTCAGCATGCAGATATCTTCCACTGTGAAGCCTGCATCCCGGGCTGGCAAACTCTTCCTCCTGGAATGAGAACCCCAAGCAGGGAAATCCCAGCTCTAGCTGGGGTCTCCTGTCTCAAATCTCCCAACTCTGCCCACTTGGAGAATAGCTCCTACTTACTGGGAACTCATCGAGTAGGTGCTACCTACAGAATGCTGCCAATGCCTGGTTCACTTCTGGGTTCAATCCCACCTAATTCTAGCTACCACACCTGTGCAGACTTCTGAAGTCAGCACTCCCTGCCTCCTGGCCCTTGAGGAGAGCTCAAGTCTAGCCCAACCAGCTTAAAGTTTGGAGTAGGAAGGCAAGCAAGCTCCACAAAAAGACCCTGGAGGTCTGGGGTCTTAAAATAACTGCCACTCATGCAAATGGCATGTCCTAGGCTGGAAGTACTTTTGCTCCACTGTGGGAGCTACATGGTGTGCACACAGGTCTTCTGCAGGGCTCCACACCAGTGACCATCAGTTCAGAGGTGTGTGAAGTCCTGTTGGTGGGCTGGCATCTCCCTGCAGCATCATCCTCTGGCACTAGAGACCACTAACCTCTCTCCACTCACGGGCCTTTGGCAAAGATCCCTAGCCTGACCTCAGAGGGAAGGAGGGGAGGACCAGGAGATCAGGAAGGGATGTGACAAGGCTTGCCTGTTGTGCTCAGAGCACCTTGGCCTCTACTTACCTCTGGGTCTTTAGTACAGAGAACTCCTCAGAAGTGATATGCTTCAAAAAATTGAAGCAGAAGAAGAAAATCTGAAGGAGACACAAAAAGCATCACACAATGAGAAGACAGTCTTCCCCAGAGAGGACTGAGGTGGCAGAACTCCCTGGAACGGGCAGCTGGCTGCTCTGGAAAATCCTCTGTTAGAGAGCAACCTGCTTTGGGGACCCCACCAAATATTCTAGTCCATGAATGGTGTGGGTGGTGGTGGAGGTTCAGCAGGGCCTGGAAGATGCCTTTGGGCCTGGCAGGGGCAAAGAAGGAAGGAACACATTTCCTTCCTGGGAAATGTTAGAGCTCAAGTCCAAGTTTTTAAACCCTCTTCAAAATCAACACGTTCTCAACCTGTTAAAAGGATGAAGACAACAGTTTAAGAACCCAGGGGAAAGCCAGGCACCAGTGACTCACGCCTATAATCCTACTCAGGAAGCAGAGGTCAGGAGGATCAAAGTTCGAAGTCAGCACCAGACAAATAGCTCGTGAGACCCTATCTTGAAAAAAAAAAAAAAAAAAACCTATCACAAAGAAGGTCTGGTGAAGTGGCTCAAGCAGTTAAGAGTGCCTGTGTAGCAAGCAGGAAGCCCTGAGTTCAAATTCCAGAACTGTACCCCCCGCCCCCCAAAAAAAAAAAGAACCCAGGAAGAGAAGCTAATAAGGAAGGACAGTTTGGAGGGAAGGGATCTGGGGACAAGGGATTAACAGACATAATAGGTACACAAAGGAAGGAAAGGAAGCCCACATGGGGAGCACCCGGAAACAAGACCAGGAGAACTGGGGTGGCGGCTGCCAACCTTCTGGCTCAGAGTCTACCCTGCTCAAGAGCTGTGAGGTCCAGGTCTTAAGTTTGAGGTAGGTGGCTCTGATCTCTGGCCACATCCCCACCTCCAGGAGCAAATCCTCAGGGTCCCAGACTGGTGACCTCCAGGAAATGTACGTAAGACTTCAGTCTGTGTGGTCTACAAACACTCCAATAATTTCCCAGGGCTGTGGCCTACAAACCCCTCTCTCACAGAAATATTCACCTGGTATCCCACAGGGCCTCAGGAGATTTCCTCAAATAAAGCAGAGGGCTGCTCAGACCAAGCCAGTATGAAAATGTTGTTACATAAAATTAAATAGGTGTTTTTACCACAGACAGTCTTTAATGTGCTAATAGACTCTGAACCTCAAAGGCAGGGGAGCTGGTAAAGATGCATTTAATAGGCCTGGTATTTTGGCTGTTGCTTTACAGGTCAGTGTCTGGGGAAGTCAGAGAAAGGTCTACACCCTGAAGACCAACCCTCCAGCTTCTGAGATTCTTGCATCTGTGAGATGTCAGACGTGGAACTCATTTTATCCCCATCTTTGCTCTGAGTCTCTGAAGGCAGCATCTGGCCTGTTCTGGGGGAGGACGGAGGTGCTATGGAGGACAGAATGTCCTGAAGCACCAGTAAAGTCCCTAAACAAGAGGCTACAAAGAGGCTTTCCGCCCAGACTTCAAGGCCAAAGTCACTGCTTCTGACAGATTCATGGAGGTCTATGAGGCGCAAGCTTCTGAGCTCTGCAGACCTGGCACATTCGATAAGTGCTCAGAAGAAGAGATTTGGAAGAGAGAGGAACAACTGAGCAAGAGGAACAAAAGGAGGTGTGAGATAAGATACCCGGGAAGGAGGCAGGCTCAGGAGGGTGAGAATGGAGAAAGATGCTTCAGGAAGCTGCTGGGTGGTGGGGGGAAGAGAGGGGAGCAGAAGAGAAAACAGTTACCACTGTGCATGCTCTCACGCTAAGCACTTAGATCTCTCATGGAGGCATCAGGAGACTCAAGGTTAAAGTGCACTGCCCAAGGTCACCCAGGCAATAGGCAGGATAACTAGAGACACAATCAAGTTTGACTTGCAGATCTGTGTGCTGGGAAAACAAGCACACCAAGCAGGCAAAGATGCAGAAGGAAGGAAGGAGTAGGGAAGCAGAGACAAGAGGATGCTGACCACCCAGAAGCTTCTGGCGTTTGCCTTCAGGAAGGGCCTGGGAGTGTGACATCTTGGACTCAGATGTGTTTCTGTTCTCTGACATCTTGGGCTCAGATGTGTCCAGGTGCTCTGACATCCTGGGCTCAGATGTGTCCGTGTGCTCTGATATCTCAGACTCAGATGTGTCCAGGTATTCTGACATCCTGGGCCCAGATGTGTCCGTGTGCTCTGATATCTCAGACTCAGATGTGTCCAGGTGCTCTGACATCCTGGACTCAGATGTGTCCGTGTGCTCTGACATCTTGGGCTCAGATATGTCCTTGTGCTCTGACATCCTGGACTCAGATGTGTTCCTTAGCTCCAGCAGCAGACACATATTCATTGTTAAAAGGGGATTTGTCACGGTATTTCATCTGTGAATATCTTGTATTTTAATGAGATTAACCCCTTTATTACTCTTTTTTACCCCATCCACCCTACCCAGCCTCGGTGAGTTTCATTCTAACTTCACAAACATGGATATAATGTACTTTGAAATATTGCTGTGATTCTAATTTGCAATTCCCTCATTGTTAGAGAATTTGAAGATTGCTCATGTGTGGATTACTAATGTGAATGTGAAATATCCATTTAAATCTGTTAAATAGATTTTCAATCTATTAAAAAAAAAAAAAAAAAAAAGAAAGGATGGGAAGAAGGCCTGGAGGCAGACAAGCAGAGAAGAGCAGGGTAAGACTCTGGGTACATAGGTGGCCCTGGGGCTGAGAAGGGGCTCAGTGGGTCTGATGGGGCAGAGAAAAGAAGTGTTTTTGTGCTTTAGCTTTGAAGATGAGGGACACAGAAAAGAAAAGGACCTGCACATAGATTCCAGAGTGGAGCACAAAACCAGGTCACTGGTAAGAAGCAAAGGGGAAGCCAGGCACTAATGGCTCATGCCTGTAATCCTAGCTCCTCAGGAGGCAGAGAATAGGAGGATCACGGTTTGAAGTCAGCCCGGGGACAATAGTTCCAAGAGACCCCATCTCAAAAAAACCCTTCACAAAAAAGCGCTGGTCGAGTGGCTTGACATGTAGGCTCTGAGTTCAAGCCCCAGTTACTGATAAAAAAAAAAAAAAAAAAAAACGGACAAGAACTGCCCAAAGGTCCCAGCTGAGGAACTGCTATTTCTAGAGCACTCACCAGGGTGCAGGGAAACCCAGAATGGGGAGCACTGGGCTCCTGCTTTTTCTGTCATGCTGCTGTCAACAACCTGCCCACATAGTGTGGCAACCAGACAGTCCATCATTCAAGACAGCGCTCACAGCCTGTCAAGGGTACTTACCTCCTCTCCTTTGCTGAGTCGATCTACCAACATGTGCCTGAAAAAGGAAGGTGAGGAGGTCAAAGGGAGCAGCATCAAGATGAGGCTGAGGGAGACCTGGGCACCAGAAAATGACTTGTGTGTCTTTGGCACTAATGCATCAGGTGAGGCCTGTCACCACCTTCTGTCTTTCTCAAGTGATGGGGATTGTTTTTTTACCGCTGACCCCTGGGATGGAGCTATACCACTCACACCTAGCCACCATCCCACACCAAACCTGAAGTTCCTCCAAGGCTTACCCAAAGAGGAACCAGTCATAGGCCACAGTCAGGTAGAGAATCTCAGCAGGCTTCAGGGACATGTGGATGAGCCCATCCTGGAAGAGACCACAGGAGGTGGCAAGATCAGAAAACTGCCTTTCTGATGAACCTTTCTTCTCACCCCAGGAACAAACCACACCCTCAGACCCAGCAATAGCACAGGCTGATGAACAGCCTGAACAATGTTAAGCACACTTGTGAGTGACTCCCTCACCCTGGATTGTCTGTTCCCTGGAGACAGTCCTAAGGCACTGTAACAGTAGAGCTAAGTAGGGTCTTTGAGCACTCCTTGACCCCAGGGCCCAGCCCAGCCCAGCCCATACTCACAGCCCACAAGGAAAGGCGTAGGAGAGAGATGAAGAGGGGGGTCCGATCCCAGCCTGAGATACAGTGTACCAGCAGCCCGCTGTCATCTACTCACACACCACCAGACAGGAGCCCAGGAGAGAACCAGACAGGGGCTGGTAAGAAGGGAGGCACCACTACCCTGGCTCAGGTAAGGGAGCCAGGACACCCTAGCTTCCCTCTCCCCAGAGGCTTCTCCAAGACTCTCTCCCAGTCTAATCCCAAAAATGGGCAGGTGTGAGCATCTGTCTGTAGCGTGTCTTCTCAGTGTGCTTCCAGGGAAGGAATGCAGGAGATTTAGGTGGCAATGACCCCGTGTGCCTGCTCATTGCTCCTCAGACTTGAGGGCCAGGGAGAGACAGACTCACCATCACTGTTTACTATGGAAAGCAGCAATTTCAGGTAGTTTTGTGTTTGTTGCACCAGGTCCCAACTCTGTTGGACAAGACAAAGAAAAGGGTCTAGGAATAAATATTAACTCAAACTTGGAATTAAAAAATACAATGCTAGGTGTGGTCATGCATGCCTGTGATCCCATCACTCAGGAGCCCAAGACAGGAAGATCACCAACTCCAGGCCAGCCTGGGCTACATAATAGACAGCCTGTTAAAAAAACAAAAACAAAAACAAAAACAAAAATAGGGCTTGTGGAGTGACGCAAGCCATAGAGCACCTGCCTAGCAAGCATGAGACCCTGAGTTCAAACCCCCAGTACCACAAAACAAAACAAGTAAGCAAGTAAGATGCTAGCTCTAGATGTAGCTCAGAGTATATGCTTAAGCACACATTAGGCCCTGGGTTCCACCCTCAACATCAAACAATAAAAATGCTAAGCATTATTCTGGAGCAACAAGTACACCAAGTTCTTAGTCTCAGGCCATAAGTCTCAAGCCCCAGATAAACTGAGGCACTCACCTTCAGCTCCTCTGCCTCTGCCTGCACCCCTCACCCTACACCCCACCCCCAAGTCAGTGTGCTATATCTAACCTGATGTGAAATGAAGGGCAACTCACAGCCCCAACAGGGGCTTGTAAGCAACCACTGTCTAAGGTGTCATAAAGGTAAACAGAGCCCTAAGCCTGGAGCCACTTTCTCCAAATGGCTAGTCATTCCTTCATCTGCTGTCACATTACAGAAACCAACTAAACTAACCTTCTCAAACATAACATGTTTCACTCACTTTTTACTGCTATTTATTATTCCTTTTTTTTTGGGGGGGGGGCAGAGGGAGACATGCTCTTGCCATGTAGCACAGGCTGGCCTTAAACTCAAGATCCTCCTGCCTCAGCCACCTGCATGCTGGGATTACAGATGTGTACCACCATGATCAGCTACATATTTTTTGATGAATAATAAATGCAGTCTGTTTGGCAGACAAAATCCTTATATAAGAGTCATGAGGTGGGAGATAGGAAATAAGCAAAAGCCATCAAAGGAGCACAGCCTGTCTAGACCAGGCACTCTGAAGCAGCCCACTCCGAATCTGGGATTCCACGGAGGGGACTGACCCAATTCTACAGAGCTCTTTTCCCAGGCGGAGACAGCTTCTGCTCTCTAAGGACACAACTGCCTATCAGCATTCTGGGCTGTGCAGAGAGGGCTGAACATGTCAGTAAGAGAGCACTTCCGGGGAGGCGGGTGGAGGGGAAGATGACACCTGTAATTGCAATGGTTTTCCCAGGAATTCAAAGCAGTCTCATTTACCTGACCCTCCCACGCCCCTGGAGAGTTCTGACCCACTTTCAGTAGCTTCAGAGTCCGGCTGCAGCACTGTGCTAATAAAGCCATTATCAGCAGCAGCACAGGGTCTCTCAGTGCATCTGGCTCAATGTGTCAGACACACCACTGCCAAATTTCCTCAGGGCTCAGGGCCGAAGCTGTCCGGAAGACAGGGCCCAAGTCCTGGAGCTCTGCAGAGTGTCAACAACCTGGGCAGCTCTGAAGGAGATGCCTTTATCAGGGAGGGACAGCATATTCCCAAGACTAGGGGCAGGAGCCATAGGCCAAGGACAGCGGTGCTGGGAGGGCCCAAGGTCACAGAGCTGAACTGAGGGAGGAAACAAAGTCCACATTCTCAGTCACATGCTATGCTCTAGGGACTTTTGAGTAAGAAACATAAGTTTGAGATAACTGCTGAATGTGAGGAAGGCCTGGAGATGTGCTAAAACCTAGGCTCACCTCTGCCTCTCATCCTATGTGCTCCACTAAAAAGCCTCTGGGAGCATAGCAGATCAAGTGCTGTTTCTAACCCTGGAGTACTTGTTCTCCTGGCAGACAAACTCCTACCTACCCTTCAAAGGCCCAGCCCAACTACCTTCTCTATGGGTTTTTCTTCTGTGAACACTGGTCAAAAGCCATCATGCAGGCAGGGTTATGTTGCTGCCTCTTTTCCTGGACTAACACCTGACCCCTGGGAGGGTAGAAGCGGTCTTGATATCTGTCTCTAAGGCACCTGTAGAATATTTCTCACTGCCTGTTCATGTTCAGTGATGGCAGCCCCAGAGGGTGGCCAAGAGCATAAAAGTAAGGAGCATACCTGTGGGAACTGAAGCCACTTACCTTGAGGCAGCAAGATGCATGCATACTTCCACAACCACTCATCCATCTGTCCATCTGCTCGTTCACCCATCCATCCACCCACCCATTCAGGGAGCAGCACACAGTGTGGCTCCTGAGGGCCTGGTGCTAAGGATAAGATGGTGGGGTCACAGAAGAGGAAAGCCAAAGTGACTCATTGCTGGTATGTGACCTCAAGGATATTGAGGCACCGTGTAGCTGGAGAGCCTACTCTGACCCATGGGGACCTTTAGAGAGGGGTTCTTGGAGGTGGCAACATTGGGGAGGATAAGCAGGAGAGAAGGGAGGAGACATGCCAACATAAGGAAAGCATTCCTGCTTTTAGGAGCCAGAAACAGGTTTTTCAGTGTGGTTAAGAAAGGACCAGGCAGTCCCAAAACAGGCCAGAATACACAGAGCTGGGCAGGCCACTGTGTCCCTGAACTGTATGCTGTGGACTGTAAAAAGTCAGTGGTAGGTTTTAAGGCATGGTGACAGGGATGCTGTGTCATCTGAGTATCTGCTATGTGCCAGGCTCTCTTTTGGAGCTTTACATTCCCTATTACCAGTTACTTTCAACGTGGCCCATGCTGACATTCGAGATGCACTGAGGTGGTGGTGGCCTGGACGAGCTAGTACACAAGAGATGGAGGTGAGGACTGGTGAATCTCACCAGGGGCAGAGAACTGATGGGACTTTGTGATGGATAAGGAGTTTCGGGTCTGAGCACCTGGCTAAATGGTGGCCTACACAGACTCCATATTGGACAGCTGGCTCCACAGAGGACACATGTTTGGATCACAAAGAAACCTGGCCCAGAGGCTGGGTGGCCTGGGATGGGCATGTGGAGTGGACAATGGATAAGATCATCCAGGGAGGTTGAGTGTAAGGGAGTCCTGGTACCCCAATGCTGAGGGATAGAAAGAGCAGACTCCACAACTGTTTAAGCACAACAAATTGGCTGGGCAGCACCGAAGAGGTGCTGAAGGCACCTCTGGGGAGGAAGCTTGCCTTCGAAATGCCAGCCCTCCTGCCACCATGCCTGGAATTCCAGCAGTACCAATACCTTGGAATCAGCTAGCCATTAGCATGCTCCCTCAGCACCAGGAAACCTTGCCTGGCACTTTCATGCAAAGAACATCTGCAGCCAGGGATCCCATCTGGTTCTAAAATAGATGCTTGCCAACCCCGTTTTCAGGGGAAGTGAGGTCCTCTGCTCATTTACAAAGCCTCTAAAGAAGGGTTGTGCACACTCCAGGGCCTCCCCAAATGCACAGGACTTCTCTCCAGAGAGGCACAGCCTTACAGGACCAATACACGGAGCCCATACAACCACACCTTGTTTGGTAAGTAGCTATCTGATTCAATTTGCACCTGCATAAGGGACAAAAAAAAAATGGTGGAACCAGAAGAAGAGCAGCTTGAAGAGCCTGCCTGAGACCTCTGCACACAACAGACTGAGATTGGAGAGCTTCCTTGGCCACTCATTCTGACTGGGTATAAATGGAACATGAGATGAAGGACAGTTCCCTACAAATCTGTTCTTCTCCAGACTGAAACAAGCCCCCCCATCCTCCCACACAACTTCCCCCGCCCCCCCAGAAATTCCTGTGTAGGGGAGCTCTGAGCCCTTGTACATTTGCTCAGATAGTTGAGAGGGCTGGATACACAGAGATAAGATAAATACAGCCCCTGTAGTTACAGACCTTCCTGCTATCAGGACAAGAGAACAAGGTGACAAGGAGGCCCCCAGTTGTCTAACATAGGCAAGCTGGACCTCTCTGAGAAAGAGACTTCAAGGCTGGGTGGGAGTTGTCCAGGCTAGGAAAAGAAAACAGTAAGAAGGCAGATGTTTTCCATTGCTCACAGGCTTTGCTTTTAAGCACTGGAGCTTTATGCCTGTTTCTGTGTTGGGGATGCACAAGCTGTGGTTCCCCCATCCTCCTGGAGTTCATAGAAGCAGATCTCTAAATCATTGACTACAGCTCAATGGGAGAAATTCCATAATATATGTGCCCAGGGGGGTTAATGGCAATGTAGATGCATCTAGCTCACCTGGGACGGGTGAGAGGAGGCAAGTTAGGGAAGTCTTCCTGAGGCAGATGCTGAGTCAAATCCTGAAGGGCAGTATATCAGCCAGACAGGAAGAAACTCAGAAGGGGCAGCCAGAGGGAACAGGCCATGGAGAAAGGACAGGGAGAACAAGGCTGCATGTCTTATCTGAAGTGAATGGCAAGCAAAACTATTGGCAGCCTATAGTCTACATGAGCAAAACAGGGTGGAGAGCCAGATCTATCCACTAAGACAGGGCCCTCCCATGGTGGACAGTGACAGAGAACACGATGGAAGTAATTTTCAAGTTTTTATAATCAAATGAGGTCAGACAGCTCTGTATTTCCTCCAGCAGAAAAGACATTTAAAAGGAAAAATGGTAAAAGTCACTGAAGCCCAGTTGTGGAAATGAAGACTCAGGTTGGGCACGGGTGGCTCATGCCTATAATCCTAGCTACTTAGGAGGCAGAGATAAGGAGAATCACAGCTCAAAACCAGCCCCAGCCAAACAGCTCACAAGACCCCATCTCAGCACAAAAATATCCAACACAAAAAAAAGGGCTGGCAATGTGGCTCAAGTGGTAAAATGCCTGCCTAGCAAGTGTGAAGCCCTGAATTCAAATCTCAGTCCCACAAAAAAAAACAAAACAAAAAATCCCAGACTCTGTGGATGCAAATCTTTGAGTGCATTCAGAAAGCTTTGACTTACTAAAAGCTCTCTCCAAGAGCCAATTAGGAGAAAGAGTTAAACAGATAAGCAGTTCCTCCTTTCCTGAGCCATGAGATATCATAGCACCAGTGTCTGCATGAAGGTCAAGCAGGATAGGCTCCAGGGTCCCCTGGCCACCCACCCCTTTACCCTTATCCTGTCTGCTTGATCAGCCCTCACCTGATACTGGCTCCAGTCAATGTTCAGAGTATGAGTCAGGAAGTCGGGGATACTCAGTGGGGCATCAACATAGTCCTGGGAACAGAAGGACATTTGTGAGATGTGGACTGGCGACCAGAAGAGGCTGTGGTGACAGAAAGTCTTAGCTTTGAAGTTTTGGCTACGACAGCACTTGCCTCTCCTGGACCAGATGCTTTGGTTACTCTGGGACTGACAGCTTAAAAATCAAAGTGACAAGAACAGTGCAGCTAGGTGGAGTTTGTCAGACATTTAAGTGTTTGCAGCTGCAATAAGCAAGACCAATCTATACCCAGCCTCTGACAGCTTTCCTGTACCTGCTGTGTGTAGACTAGAGAACAGAAAGCTGGTCCCAGTCTTTATGCAGAAATCTGAGGAAAAAGAAAGGACCTTTGCTACCTTGAACCTGAAAATTTTCCTTACAGAAAGGCAGATATAGGGCATAGTTCAAGTGGTAAAGCACCTGCCTAGCAAGCATGAGGCCCCAAGTTCAAATCCCATTTTACCACCAAGGGGTAGGGGGGAAGGGAAGAAAGGAAGACAATAAAAGGGGAGAGAAGCAGGGTGTGGTAGTATTACCTATAGCCCCAGCCCTTGGGAGAAAGAGGCAGAAAAATACGAGTTCCATGTCAACCCAGACTAAACAGTGAGACCCTATCTCAAAATAAAACATAACAGCTGGGTGCCAGTGGCTCACGTCTATAGTGCTAGCTACCTGGAAGGCTGAGATCAGGAGAATTGAGGTTCAAGGTCAGCTTGGGCAAATAGTTAGCGGTCCCATCTCCAAAATAACCAGAGCAAAGTGGACTAGAAGTGTGGCTCAACTGGCAGAGCACCTACTTTGCCCTGAGTTCAAACCCTAGTCCTACCAAAGAAAACAAAACAAAAGGCTCAAACAAATGAAACAAAAAGGTGGGAGAAGTACTTATTTTAAGAATGTAACATGTATATACAGGCAGAAGAAGATGAAAAAGAAAAGAGACTAATTCAAGCAAGAAGAGAAAGGAAAATGATAGTTTTTCCCCAAAAGGATTTGACCGTTCTCTTTGGTCTCCCTTTACAAAGAAACACAGCTGAATGTTGTCACTCATACCTGCTTCCAGTTAAAAATGAGCCCTTCGGCCATGTAATCTCGATCCTTATATTCCTTGAAAAATTCACAGCCTGCAAAAGAAGGCAAAGTTATGACACCTCCTGTCCTAGCACAAAGGCTTCTGAGACTTACCCCAGGGCCACAGCCCTGGCTGCTGAATGAGAGGCCACCAGCTCATACACCTTGCCACGTTGGTAGCCCTGATGAGGTCAAGGCTGAAAGGCAGGAATGAGAACAGGAATGGCAGTAAGAGCCAAAGAGCTAGCTCCTGGTGTCCCTCTGGATTTCTAGCTATCCCCTTTCCATGAGGCACTGCCCGATCTCACACTTCTCTCCATCTGTGCTCCCTGGTAACTGGTTGTTTCCCCTCATTGCAGTTCCCTTTGTCCTAAGAGTCTCTGCAGCACCAACCCCAGCAGACAGAAGCATGGCTCACAATGAGAGGCTCTGCAATGCTTTTTGCAGCAGCCTATGAAGTGCAGAGGATCAGTCTTCCTCATCTCTAAAATGAGGGCAGTAATCCCAACCTCACAACTTTCAGTGAGAAATGAGCATTCTAACATGCTGGAGCAGATGTGGACACTGCCTGCAACCCACGTCACAAGACACAGCTATCCCCAGGCAAACGGCAAAGGGTACTTCCTGCACCATTCACTAAAAATCCCTAAGAAACTTCACCAGGGCGACATCTGGGGAACAAGGGGAGGGAAAGCGGAGAGGACTTCACAGCGCCCCCAGCTGCACATCTCAGCTTTTTCACCTTGCCCTGTGCTGAGAACAAGCCATGTAACATTGCTAAGCTTGGCTTTTCTTACTTGTAGGATGTTTGTTTAAGACCACAACAAGACATATAAAATAGCAAGCACGGGCCAGGTACACAAATGGCAGCACACCACTGTCACCATACTGCCACTTTGACAGAAGCCCAGTGCCAGCCCTACAGTTAAGTCAACTGCTGTGGTCAAAGGCCATGGTCAGAGATGAGGCTTACCCTTGCTGGGTGACCACACAACAGCACAAGGAGCAGCCTAAGTCGTTAGCAGGCTCCCTCAGTGTCAAGCCACAGGGTAAGGGAGGCACTTGGGGAGTGGCTTCTCTCAATTACTCTCAGTTCCTCAACTAGGGCCCTTGCAACTTCAGAGGACACGTGGCTTTGGATGCACCAAGCCTGGCAAGGTTCTGGCAGGCAAGAAAAATCACTGTCCCAATTTTGGAAGTGGCCACAGGTCAAAAACATTCACATGGGTAGTGGGTAAGTTTGCTTGCCCTCAGGGAAAACAAGGACCGTCCTGTAGAGGGGACCTTCTATCCCATGATTCCAGCACAACTTTCATTCCACAAACCCTTGTACTCTAATCCCTTAGGCCTTGCTTTTAATTGACAAGTCAGAAAATAATCTTGAGTTATAATACTTCAGCCTATTCTAAGGTACCTTACCAGTGGAAAGAAGAATTATAAATATCAGACAGAGGCCTTGAGCTTATGATCCCAGGCTGAGAGGGCACACCAGTGATTTCTCAGGGCTCTGTGAAGTGCTGTTCTCCCAAACCCTGGCTGCACAAATAACTCCACAGGCCCCAGGCTGAGTTCAGACACAGCCAGTGATGCAGAACCTGTCAGAATTAAAATAGACTCGGTACCCAAGGCAGTGCCTGATGCTCACTACCAGAACAGGCATCTGAACCTACCATCAGACAAAAAGGGAGGAATGAAAAGCAGGTGACAGCAGCAAGTCACTCAGAAGGAAACAAATTAAACTGTGGCAGGGTTGGGCCCCATCTATTTTGGCACCCTGAAAGAAGTACTTGGGAGCACTTCCCATTTTGTCTAAGCCCTTAGTAAGAGGAAGAACTGATAGTGTTGCAGTTCCTTTCTGGGCCTCAAACTCCTTACAGGACTCAACTGAGAGTCCCTAAATGGCAAAACAGTCTGTGACTTTGTTTAGGTAATGGCAATTTTATTTCTCTTTTATATAGTAATGCTGGCATAAAAAAAAAAAAAAAGAAGCCAGAATATGAGTATTATCAAGACTCCTGTCCCCTTATCTGGATACACAATGGGCATCTCTCTGCCCCCAGTTTTTTTTTTTTTTTGCAGTACTGGCGCTTGAACTCAGGGCCTTCACCTTGAGCCACTCCACCAGTCTTATTTTTGTGAAGGGTTTTTCGAGACAGAGTCTCTCAAACTATTTGCCTGGGCTGGCTTTGAACCGTGCTCATCCTGATCTCTCCCTCCCGAGTAGCTAGGATTGGGCCACCAGTGCCTGGCTGCCCCCCAGCTTTTTGATTTTTACATCCCTGTACATTCCTCCTAACATGTACAACCACCAGATAAAATACATAAAAACTAGAGGAAGATCAGGAAAACATGCACAAATCTTAACATTTTAGCATCGTTCCTGCTAACTCTTTTTCATTAAGCACTTTCTCCTTCACGTAATTAGGAATCTACTAAACAATCTTGTATCCTGTTCATCATCTTGAACATTTTTCTATAACTCTGCAATATTTTATTCTGTGGATGGAACTACCGTCATTTCCTTAATCCTTATTCTGATTAATGAAAATATGTCCCTGGTTTTGCTATTATAGACATCACAATGAATGTGTTTAGCCTAAAGTCAGCTGGACTGCAGCCTAATGATGAATATTAGAAAAATAACAGGGTCAAAGGGTGTTAACATTCGAGGAGCCTTATAACAAGTTGCCACACACAGCAGAAGGGACACTACACTACTATTCATATGCAGCAGTGGTACTAAAAGCAAAACTGTTTTCTCTAAGCAAGTCCTACTTGGAACTGAAATATAAACAATGAAAGAGATGCCTGTCTCTTTGGGCAACACACTTCTGGTGCATACATGGCAGCTGAGTCTGTGCCAAATACCCCGTCTCTCCTGGGAGTTGGATGTTAACTCTGAAACCAAGTTTCCCACCCACCCCACAGCTCCAGCACAGCTGCCCTGGGACTGTTACAGTATAGCTCTGACACTGCCATGCCCTCTGCATCATCATTATCAAAACCTGCACCAGCCCAGAATTGCTCTTGGGGAAGAGGAGGTTCCCAAGCCTTTTCCCATCAACTCCTTGTTAGGCCCCTATTTACTGATTCCCTGTTAGGAATGGGTCTTGGCACTTTACTCTGAAATAAACACCATATTCCTTATATCATGAAAGATGCTCAGAAGGATTGAGGAACTTGTTCAAGGACACAGCTCTAAGAGCTGGGAGTCATACCCAGTTCTACAGGGCATCAAACACTAAGATGGTAGAGATGAATGACAAAAAGCTAAGGAGGAGGCCACTGAAAGGGTGTCAGGTTACAGGGGGACGTATCTCCCACAAGGTGCTAGATAAACTTGGAATTCTAACTTTTTTTTTGAACTTTCATTTCTAAATGATGCTGTCACCAGCCTGCCCTGTATATTGGCTATGTGGCTCTAAGACTGAGGAGACAAAGTTCAGGCCAAGACTGAAGGCAGATGCCAGTGCTGAGAAAAGGGAGTGGTTGTAAAGAAGTACATTCCCTGCTGTGGCTGGCAAAGCCTGGCACTGCTGATCAGCAGGGATGATGGAGTCCTGGAGTGCTGTGCACTAAACTAGCACAGCTCCAATAACCAGGGCAGAGAACGCAGCCTGGCCACAGGTTGCATACACTTCTGTGTGCCACAGATAAACAGAACTGTGTGGATACGAAAAGTGATCTGCAACGTGGGGGAGGCACTGTACAGTCACTGAAAACAGAACAGTTAGTTATTCCACCCCCTTGAACAGCCTCTGAGGGTGATGTCCACAAATACCTCCACCACCGCAAGACACACGTGGGAAGGTCCATACAAGGGCCACAGCAGGGTGAACAGCTGTTGACAAGAGAACTAATAATGTCATTTCCATTCACTCAGTACTTTATGTGCATAGAGCACTTGGATACACATGATCTAATCTTCACCACAAAATCCTGAGCTAAACCTTTCCAACTTCCAACTGTCCAGTGAGCAAACATGAGGTTCTGAGAGGTAAAGTAACTTGCTTAAGGTTATAGCTAGTGAATGCCAGTGCCAGGTCTTAATCCCCTGGCCTGAGTGGAAAGCACTTTCCAGGATACCACCTTACCCTCACGGTGAGCACCTAGTGACCTGGGCCCCAAATGTCCATGCTGGTTTACACAAACATCTCCTGGGAAGCTCCCAGGGCACCAGGGCATAGGTGTGCTCCTGGCCTCTAAGGCCCCCAGCCTGGGGAGACTCACTTAACTAGAAAAGAGCTCCCTACCTGGATATGGGATGGAGAGAAGAGTGAAATCAGCATAGCGCTGGGCTTTGTCCACCTTCTCAGAGGAGGTTACACTACAAGACAAAGACACAATGTGTTATGGCATCCCAACAACACACACAAACACATGCCATTCCCCTAATGAGTGTTGTAGTAATTTAAAATGAACCTTCTGCTAAAAAAGTTACCTTTCAGATTTTAGAATGACTTCCCTTAGCAGTGATTACTTTTTTTTTTTTTTGTTTTAAGAGTAGGGGGAGCAGTACTGGGGTTTGAACTCAGGACCTCGCCTTACCAAGGAGGCTCACTACTGCCTGAGTCTTTGAACAACTAGAAAAATCTAAATTTGGGGTGGGGGCAGGGGGAAGAAATGACCCAAGCATTGTATGCACATACGAATAATTAAAAAAAAAAAAAAGAAAATCTAAATTCTGACTAGAGAAGTGGCTCAATAGTAGAGTACTTACCTAGCATGTATGAAGGCCTGGGTTTGATTCCCACTACTATATAAAAAAATAAAAAAAAAAACAGGCACGCCACTGTAATCCTAGCTACTCAGGAGGATCGCAGTTCAAAGCCAGCCCCAGGCAAATAGTTCCAGCAAGCCAATCTCGAAGCCGGGGGAAAAAAAAAATCACAGAAGAGGGCTGGTGGAATGGCTCAAGCTATAAAAATTCCTGCCTACCAAGCATGAGGCCCTGAGTTCAAAGTACCACCAAAAACCCCCCCCAAAAAACAAACAAAAAATCTAAATTCCCTGTCCTCTACTCCAACATCTCAAGCAAGAGAGGTCTTTTTCCCTCTAACACCACAGCAAGCCTCAAATGGAATTTGCTCCACAAATGCATGTAATATAGCCACTCCAATCCCAGAGGGTGGAGTGAGACAGAGCCAAATAATGGCATCATCCAAAAAAGGGTCCTGTGGGGGACTTCTCTGTTCTACTGCCTTCTCTAATAATTATGGGGGATACCACTAAACAGAGTAAACAAGCAGCATCTGAAAAGAAGCACTGGGAGCCATTCTGAGAAAGGAAGGAACAGGAATGTTCAAGATATCTGTAGCAGGTAGAGTTGGTCCTTTAGTTCACTATGCCTTATTTTTCTAAGATAACCTTTTAGGAAACTAAAAGATATTTTTAAAAAACAAGGCTAGGTGTAGTGGCTTGTGCCTGTAATCCCAGCCAGTATGCAGACAGAGATAGGAGGATAGAGATTCAAGGCCAACCTAAGGAAAAAGTTCAGGAGACCCCACCTCAATTAATAAAGGCTCGACATGGTGGTGTGCACCTGTCATCCCAGCTATGAGGGAAGCATAAGTAAGAGGATCGTGTTCCAGGTCAGCCTGGGCATACATGAGAGACCTTGTTCAAAAAAACAATTAAAGCTAAAAGGGCTGGGAATGTGGTTCAATTGGTAGAGTGATTGCCTAGCACGTGCAAGGTCCTGAATTCAAGCTCCAGTGTCACCGAAAAAATAATAAAAATCAGTTGGGCATCAGTGGCTCATGCCTGCAATCCTAGCTACTCAGGAAGCAGAGATCAGGAGGACTGTGGTTCGAAACCAGCCCAGGAGAATAGTTTGTGAGACCCATCTCAAAAATACCTAATATAAAACAGGGCTGATGGAGTGGCTCAAGTGGTAGAGCACCTGCAAGCATGTGGTCCCAAGTTCAAATCCCAGTACCGCCAAAAAAAAAAAAAAAAAAAAACTAAAACTAGGATTAAACAAAATTTTGGAAAAAGCTCCTACAATTTCATTACTTTAACCCAGGTTACATTTTAAAGCTTTGCTTTAGTATACATTTGAGCCATGTATGTATTTTTACATAGCAGCAGTCAAAGCAAAAATTGGGTATACACTGAATTTTTGGTTCCATCTTTAAAGAAATTCTAATGTGCTGGGAATGGCATAGAACTTACAGGCAGGGAAAAAACTGAAAGGGTGTCTAACCAAAGGAGGTGGCAAAGCAGTGGATACAGACTGATGACTCCTGCTGTTACTAACATGCAACCTAGAGACAGTTACTTAGCCTATCTGTGCTTTATTTTCTTGTCTTGAAAGAGGACCACCAGGACCATCTGGCAGGCAGCTTGAAGATGCAGGAAAAGATGCACCAACAGCTCTTGCAGCAGCACACAAAACTGGTATGCACTATGGCCATACAAGTTGTGAATACATGGCCTCTATTTCTATTTCAAGGTGGGTGTGTGAGACTTACTTCATGCCAAACTTCACCTTCTTGTTTTCCACCATCAGGTCACAGATGTACTTGACTGACAGGTACCGAAGCAGCCTGATGTCATAGCCTCTGACCTTATCAAAAAGGTGCACATCACCACTTCTGAAACAAAGAGCCACAGGGAGAAGTTACATAGCATGTTCACTCAGAGGAGCCTGGGGTGGGGGACTCTTCAGGAAAGTATGGACATCACTGGCAAGAACTTGTATTCCTCGCTTCAGAAGCTAGGCAGAGTGGGGACCGAAGGTGACTTTCTAAGAGATTATCCTCATCTCTTGGACATGTTTCAAAGAGGAGCAATTTGAAGTAAGAACGGGAAAGGACTTTCTGGTGCTGCTTGACATTAAGCCAGAAGACTCAGATAATCTTGGTTCTAAAAAGCAGCGAGCTGATGGTTGATGGAGTCTTTGAGCTTCCATTAGAATTGATCTCCACCCCCACTTTTCCCCCCTTTATGACAATTTTTAGTCACATCTCTCACTCATAATGTAACAGATTGAAATTCTTGGACAGAAAGACTTTTTAGAGCTATTTTATCAATTGATTGTGAAATACTAGCAAGTAAATTCCTTCTACTTAGCAGGCCTATGAAGCAAGGAAAAAGATAAAACTTTTGTAATCCCCAGGCTACCTTCTAATCAGTCATGCAGATATAGACAGAAGCAGAAAGAGTAAATAGTCTCCATTACATTTTTTTTTTTAAATACCCACTGCTTAGTCATCTCTAGCAGTCCCCTCACCAGTGTATGCTGAAGATGACCTGGCTAAGGCAAAGGTCATTGGATCTTGAAGAAAGAGTATAACTTTCTTGAGCACAAACCAACACCACTGCTTTCAGAGCCAACAGCAGAACCAAGGCACAGCAAGATACCCTTTCCACGCAATGATACATGATTGCGGCGGCTTATCTTACTAGGATGTTTGTGTGCATTGCAGAGATCAGACATGCTCAATGCTGGTTAAGGACACACAAGTTTTTATAATATACCCTATAGTATTTTTTAAAAACCATTTGGAAAAGGGGTAGGAAATGTGGGGATCAGCCCATTTCTCCTTTAAAGGATCTCAAAATTGGGGTGGTGGTGTAGCTCAGTGTTAAAGCTTAGCATGTATGAAGCTCTGGTTTCAACCCCAGCACAAGAAAAAAAAATGAGAGGGGCTCAAAATACTACTTAATATCAAGCTCTTTTTGTGGCACCAATCATGCAGCTGTGGGGATTTCTAGTTGCTACATGTCTTCTAGGCCCTTATGCCTCAGTACCAGGTGCGCTATGTGACACCTTGCAGACTGGCCATTTGTCACTCTCATTACACAATGTGGACACTTTGAAGCCAGTACAGAAAACAGGGGCCCATCTCAGACCTGTAGTATAAGGAACCCCTGGTGTGGGACCTTCTCTCTGAGATACTGATGTTCCTTCATGCTAGCTGCAGAGTGCATGGGTATTCAGTGTTGGGATAAAGCTACTGGATGGACTTCAGCAGCACTAATTCTGGGTCATGAACTTGGGAGATAGGAATAGTCAATCCACTCACCTGCACCAGTAATGAATGCACACTACCAGAATGATGCCAGACACCCATCCCCAGCCCAAGCCCCTACCCACGGAGACCCAGCACTGACCGCAGAGCATAGTCCTCCTCTGTGACGTCCTCCAAATCAGCCCAGGCATCATCTGCACCCCCTGCCAGAGAAACCAGTCTGTCAGCACTGAGGCTGGTGGCATGGGGTTCCACCAGGGTTCCTAATCAGCCACCACCCCAGGGACAACCCTCATGTCTCCTTCAGCACCATATGCCCATGTCTGGCAGTCTTCTTTATCTCCCAAGTGAATTCCTTTTGTCTTCTGGTCCCTACTGAAAGGAATGCCCTGCTCCCACCCAGCCTGCTCGAACACTCTAACTACACCATTGTGGTCATGGGAGGCTTTTCTCTATGACTAGATTTTCCCAGGGAAGGCTGTTCAATATTCACCTGAGAAAAAATAGTTGTAGCCGGAGCGTCCATACAGCTCCCCCCATCCAGCCAGCGTGGCTGACCTGCAAATATGCTGGGAGACAAACAGCATTTTCAGAGTTAGGCAGTGTTTGAAATAGGCAGAGCTGAAGGAACACCTGGAACTCCTGAGGCTTCCAGACCAGCAAAAAGGGTCTGGGTGCACTGAAGTCTTATCAGCACTGAAGCTACTGCACCAGTGTAAAGGGTGCCTAGAGCTTAACCCACAACCTCTATCAAAGGAGTCTCTCCCCAAAATTCAAGACACCACAGTGTTACTAACAGTGACAGACAAGATTTAGTGTTGCGTATGAGAACCATGCACTGGGGACGGTACTTGTCAGTACCATCTTCTCATTAAACTCTCACAAAAAGCCTGTGAGGAAGGTGTGGCAGGCAGCAGGCATTGTTGCCATTTTGCAGAGAGAAAAAGGAAAACTAGACCAGGGACATTAAAGGATATGAACAACCACACAATGAGGGATAAGCTGGCATGTGATCCAAACCCACCTACCTCCTAAGCCAGTGTGCTTACTACTTGGAAATTTTTAGCTTAGAGGGGAGCAATTTTTGCAGTAGGGGAGGCAATTAGAGAAATACTTTGGCACTTTTAAAAAATTATCATGGAAATGTAGTAGCTATTATTGGGGTGGGGAGTTGGCCGTTTGTCTTTGCAGTGCTATGGTTGAACCCAGGGACCTGAACATGCTAAGAAAGTGCTCTATCACTTTCTCCCCCAGCCCCTTGCTTAAATATTCTTTTATTTTCTTCCTCATCATTGAAAGGATCATTGAGTATTAGAATTCTAGAAACCAAGCAATCACCCAAACTTCAATATCTAATTTCAAGGCTACACATTTAAAATAAACTGACTGATGAGATTCAGTAGGATTGGGAAGGGATGGAAGGAGATGCCTGGTGACAAAAAGGCAAACCAGTCTAGACTAGAAGAGCCCCATCAGACAAGACAACAGGGAGCTGTGAGGTGAAGTTCATTTCTGAACAGGTCACACAATCTATTGAAGTAAAATGGGTCTCTGAAAGATTAGAGTTCTCCTCCCCTTTCCTGTAAGGTAAAGGGAAGGAAACAGTTGGCTCCTACAGGAAAAGGGGTATGGCTAAAACAACTAAGTAATCTTCTGGCTGTCCCTGTAGTAACACAAGACAACAGACAAGCCGTTTGGACATCAACTGAGGCAGGCTGGTGCCTTCTTGGTGCTTCAGCCTGTTCATACATCTATCTTTCCCCCCTGCTTGAGCACCAAGGACTACCTGTTCATCTGTCTCCCCTAAACCTAGCATGAAGATCATTACTGCTTTTTCCACAGCAGCACCTACCTACTGAGCATGGGCTTACATGCCAATGCCCCCACGTGGGGGGACACTGTCCCAGAAGCCTACTGGAGAAGAGTTCCCACTGGCCTAAGCAGGATGTACTCTGGTGGGAGCACCTAACCTTTTCTGGGTCTAACAGCATTTTGAAAATCTGACAAAAACTATGTCTCCAGAAAAACACACACAGGCACGCAGCACGCAAACACACACCACAGTTTACCTATATTTCCAGGGATTCCTGGATTCTCCAAAGTTCATCCAGGAGCCCAGTTTCTCTCAAGAACCCTCACCTTAAGGGGATCAGAGAAGTAATTCAGAGCAGTGAAGCTGCACAGAACTTTAGCAAAAAGTCAATCCCAGGCTGAGGATTCTACAAGACTCTCATGATAAAGGGAAGTCTGATTTCTAAGAGCAAGGCAACAGTAGAGTGTGCAGCCATTTCACTGGTATGTGCTCTCCAGTTACCTAATTATTAATGGCCTCCAATTCCACATGTGGAATAGTATTCAGCAGGATCTGCCAATGTAGTAACCAACCTTGGTACACAAGTAAAAATGACTTAGTTGGGATGTAGTTCAGTGGTAGAGCATGTGATTAGTATGTGCAGGGTCCTAAGATCAACCCATAGCAATGCAAAAAAAAAAAAAAAAAGGGGGGGGGCAGGGCAATAAATAAATAAAAGTGACTGGCCTCTATTCTCCACCTCCTGAGGGAGGAAACAAAAAGAAAAATGAACTGTCCCACATTTCAATTGTCTAAAAGTCACACACAAGCACTGGGAGAGAAAATGGTATGGGAGGCTATCTTACCCTTCAGTGATTTAAGTTATTAAATTTTAAAATAATGTATCTTATTTAACCCAACACATCCAAAATATTGTCAACATATAATTGCTTTAAAAATCAGTACTTAGTTGGATGTGGTGGCATACATCTGTGATCCCAGCACTCAGGAGGCTGAGGCAGGAAGACCCTGAATTTGAGGCCACCCTGGGGGACAAAGTGAGACCTTGCCTCAAACAAAACAAATATCATACATATATTTATACAGTTTTCAAAACCTTACATGTATTTTTATTTATTTATGTGTGTCGGGGGTGGGATACTGGGGATTGAACTCAGGGCCTCATGTTTGATAGGTAAGCACTCTACCACTTGAGACACACTCCCAGCCCTTTTTTTTTTTTTTTTTTTGAGAGAGTGTCTCACTATATAGCCGAGGCAGGCCTCAAACTCTATATCGTCCTGCCTCTGCTGCTCAAATACTGGGATTACAGAAATGTACTACATGTCTGACTTTGAAATTTATTTTAGCATATCTCAAGTAAGATTTTAAATTTTCATAATTTAAAGGGAAATGTACCCCTGTATCAAATAAAGTTATTTTTAACAATTAAAAAAATCTTTTTAACTTCTTTGGCTTTAATTTAATTAACTAAAACCAATCCACACTGAACTGAGTTTGGAAGGAAGCAGGAGGCAAGTATTTCTTTTCTTTTCTTTTTCTTCAGTATTTCTGAACATTCCTTTTTCCCTTCCTGGAAGAGGAAGGTGGCACTGAGGAAGTGTTTGTAGTAATACCACTACCCTTGCATGAGGTACAGATGCCTGTTGTGAGCCAAAAATCTGAGAACCAGTCCCCAGATTACAACAGAAGCTATTTTCAGGCCTTCTCCAATCTCCTTCTGAATGCCTTCCCCATTACTCAAGCTTTAAGGACCATCTTGTTCCTGTGTCTCCAGATCCTAGCATGGGGACCCCTTCTGCTTTATCCAGAGCAGCCCTTTCCTGCCAAGCATGCACTCACATGTTGACCAGTCTTCTAGCAGCTGGAAAGACAACAGAACGAAAGACCTCTCCTCCAAAGGGATTATAACAACCAAAATGAAGCATATGCAGCAGGTATTCTCCCCAAGAGCACTGAATGACTCAAGGGAAGCTAAGAGAAATGAGAAGATGCAAAAGGTAAACTCATGGCAAAGCCTCTCAGACTAATCCCTCATAGTAACATAGCCATTTTGCTACAGTTGTTAGCCTTGGGCTCTTTTCTCACAGGCACACTTAAGATGTAGTGCTAACAATTTGTCATACAGTTAGCTCCTCTTCCAGACAAAGCCCCAGAAAGCTGAAGTTGCTTAGTATGACATTTCCCATATGCATTCAGCAAAGTTCCTTACTCATGACCTCCATACAAAGGAGAAACACCAGACTGGACAAAGTTACAAAGGTCCAGACACCTCTGAGAAGGTCTCTGCTAAGCACGACTCAGAATCTGAACTCTGTCAGTGTACACGTATTGAAGTACTTTGTCAATGTGGATGGGTGGTATGCGGTAGTATGTGGTATTTCTCATTCTTATTTGACAGGAATGCTTTCCCCAAGCTTAACTGCTGGTCTGTGAAACACCCTTTGGGAAAACACTGGTTGCAGTATTTCCAGTGCAACTTCTAGTTATGAGGACTGTGCTCCACAGAGCAGCTTTCAGTAAAGTGGAGCTCCATTAACTTCTACAAACACAAAATCTTTTCAAAGTAGTCATGGAAAGTGGTAGGTTTCTAGGACCTGGCTTCCATACATACTTTTGCCAAAAATTTACCAACCTAAGAAAGGCTTCAACAGTCTCCTTTCCTATCTCACCTTTACTGATCACTTTCTAAAAGAAAGGCACACCAGGGACTGAGCCAACACTCAGCTTCTCCATCCTGCCCCTCCACCACCCAGGCTGGGTGACTGCAGCTACAGGCTGCTAAGAAGCACCCCTGCACACCTCCTTTCTCCAGGTTGTCTGCACTTTAGTACACTCCTCCTGGACTAATCTTCCCCCAAATGCTTCTTGCACTCTATTTCCATACTCAAAAAATCTCAACAGCTCTTGTGACCCTAGAGGCATTCAGCCTCCTCAGTTCAATCTCCTCTACCCTCTGTGATGACATGCACCCTCTTTGCTAACTGTAGAGGCTTCCTGGTACCTCTCCTTCATACCACCATCCCTTCTCTACTGCTTCTCAATCACCCCCTGCCAACCCGCTGGCATTCTCAAACCACATCCTGGTTTCTAGAGACCACCAATCAGGCTGTCAGTCCACAAGGCTGCCCTCCATGGTGAGCTACTTTCATGCCATACCATGCCACATTCAACTACAGCATGGTTTGCAGATAGTTTCAAATTCCAGAGTGTGTGTGCATGCATACCACCTCCATTTTTCCCCCTTTTTTTGTAGCCTATGCTGGCCTCAAGTTCACAATCCTCCTGCCTCTGGTTCCCAAGTCCTGGAAAGACAAGCTTCCATGACTGGCTCAAATCCCAGCTCTCTGTCTGTTGCTGTGTAAAATAAACTTGGGCAAGTTATTTAACCACTCAGAAACTTTGCTTCACTTGGTGTTAAGGGAATATTCCTGATGCCAAAAAATAAGATAGATCTATTATTGTGAGTTGTCTGTAGTTAAGCCCAATGAGACATATAGAGAATCCATACATATAGTAAGCAGATCTAGTTGCTTATTTACAGCATGTTTCTTTTGGAGAAACTTGTGGTGGTGGATACAGTTGGATCACATTTATACAGTTACAGATTTTATTTTCTCATTCTCAGAGAAGCCACTAACAGTAGCCTAGAATATAAGCTCTTCATAGGACAGGATTTTTGTCTGTCTTGCATACTGCTATTTCTCAAGGTCTGAAACAGTGGCTGACAGTGCACATTCATTAAATACTTGGTTAATTATACAATTGAAAGAATGAAGAAACAACAATGTATTATCTCATTTGATTTGATCTATTCTATAAACCTTTGATGTAGATGTTATCATTATTCCCATGTTATTCCTCAGTAAACTGTGGCTATGCATAAGCAGGAAGAACTAGAGTCAGGATCTGAAACTGGGCAGTTTACAACTAGAACACAGGGCTAGGCACTATGGTGTGCATATCCCCTTCCCCTCTGAAATCTTCCTTGAATCAGAACTGATCTGTTTCCCATAGCACTAGGTACCCAGTAACCAATCGTGGGCTGGCAGAAAACAAAAAGACCCCATACTTTGCAGGTCAGTCATCCAAAAAAAAAAAAAAAGAAAAAAAAAAAGGATCTTGTAGCATGAGACTGTGGGGCAGGCCTTACCTTGCCTTTGAACAGGATCACTGGGCAAACGAATCGTCCTCTGCACCTGGCCATCTTGCTGCGGTTGATGAGGTCTTGCAGCTTGCTCACCTGCACAGTGCTCTGAAACCTAACACATAGGCAGGAGAGGTCAGTCTGGCTTCTCAAATGGGCACCTGCATATGTGTGTTTCTTCATACAACCTCACACTAAGTCTGTACACATACAGAAGAATACTCACTGAAGTGGGCAGCAGGGGCTCACACCTGTAATCCTAGCTACTCAGGAGACAGAAATATGGAGGACTGCAGTTCTAGGCCAGCCTAGACAAATAGTTTGCAAGAACCTATCTCAAAAATACTCAACACAAAAAAGGGCTGGCAGAGTGGTTCAAATGGTAGAGTGTCTCCCTAGCAAGCATAAAGCCCCAAGTTCCAACTCGAGCACCACTTAAAAAAAAAAACCCAAAAAACAAAGCAAAAAAAAAAAAACCAAAAAAATCCCACCTCACTGGAAATTTAATAGATACTATACAGTAGACCCCTGGTATCCAAGGGTATACAGTTCTAAGGAAAATGCCATTAAGGAAAAACTGAATGCTCAGGATGCATCAAGTTCAGTACTGTACTGCAGGTACTACATTCATTTTTCTCGTAACATTGCCCAAATTCTGCTAAAGACCTGCCACATTTCAATAAATTTAAAATTTTCACTTTTATCGCTTCAATTAAGCACATTAACTTTTACTTTGCTTTTGGAGTACCACTTGCCTTTTGGGAGGCATAGTGTATTTTCACAAATTTAAAGGCAGAGAAATACTCAGCAGATCACACAATGAATTAAACACAACTGATGATAATGTGGGATTGACCCAGAGCTTCTCCACATTCACTGAGCTGTGTAATGTGTGTGTGGGAATTTGTATTTTATTTTTGAAATTTATTTTGACTTTTTCAATTTTATTTTTAATCAAAGCCACATGTAATAAATCTAGGAATACAGAGAACTTACTGTAATTCCTAAATTACACTGATACATTAAATTTTTCAGGAAAAGAAAGAGTACTTATCATGGTATTAACATCTATGTCGCCCTGATTTTAGAATCTTTTTGATGGGACTGGGGTTTGAACTCCAGGCCTCCCACTTGCAAAGCAGGCGCTCTACGGTTTGAGCCACACCTCCAGTCCATTTTGCTGTGGTTATTTTGGAGATGGGAGTCTCTTGATCTATTTGCCAGGGCTAATCCCGAACTGCGATTCTCCCAAGTAGCAAGGATTACAGGCGTGATCCAGCAGCGCTCAGATTCAAAATCTTTATGATTTATAAAAAAAAAAAAAAAAAAGTGAGCTAAACTGAAGACATGGTATGTAAAAGGCAGAAATATACATAAGGAACTGAACATGGGTTATGTGTGGGTGTCCAGCATTTCTCTTCTATGGTAATACCTAGTGCCCCAGGAACCCCCTGTGATCTGTCAGGGAGCAGAATGAGATGAAGGTCATGATCAACATGGGTATAAAATATTCCAACCATCTTTAACAGTCCTAACAACCAACAGGGCAGAGAACACTGGGGACAAGGAGATGAAATAGAAGTTATCCATGGCACTACAAGGTGCAGTAGTGAATAAACGGGGTTTGGAAGAACTCCTGTCAGGTTTAGAAAACTGCTCCAGCAAGCCACACCCACACCAAATCACATTTCCTCACAGACTCACCGACCCTTAGTAAAGGCCTTACCCAGTCAGTCAAAGCTTCTGGCAGCAAGAGAAACAAGAGGCAGAAAAGTTAGAGCGAAAAACCTTCCCAGCTGTGCAGGTAATCACTAAAAGGGAGCAAAACACTCATGCTCACTCCTTAAAAGAGCTGAGCTTTTGGGCCCCGTCCTACAGGGGTTAGTACCTTCCACATCCTAATCCATCTAGTGATTCTGTTACTGCATAGCTCCTCATGGACACGCGCATCCAAATCATGTTTCAGGAAGAGAAAGTTAGCTACTTCCACACATCCATGCTTCCTTTCTAAGTGAATCTAGATATTACTGGGGTTAATAAAAACTCAGTCTTAAAAATTGCTAAGCTGGACATGATGGCATACATCTGTAATGCAGCACTCTGGAGGCTGAGTTCAAGGCCAGCCTGGGCTTCATAGCAAGACCCTGGCCTCAACAAACACACAAAAAAATACATTGCAAATTTGTAGGAAAAATGTAAGTATAAGGCTCCTAAGTGTGGTGGACACTGTAATTATTACCAAGTGGAGGAGTTTGAAATTCAAGTTAAAAAGGATCTTCGAATAAAAACCAGAGTCAGTCAGGCTGGAGGTGTGGCTCAAGTGGTAGAGTGCCTACTTGTCTGGCGAGAGTAAGGATCTGAGTTAAAAAACAACAACAACAACAACAACAAAAAGTCAATAGTTTGGTGATCTTGGAAAAAAACAATGGGGTGTAAAAGGGCTTATTCTTCACATGGTGTATTTTTCTGTGAAGTCTGATTTAAAATTTAATTTTGGGGACTGGTGGAGTGGCTCAAGTGGCAGAGTGCCTGCTTTGCATGCGTGAGGCCCTGAGTTCAAGCCTCAGTGCCACAAAAAAAAAAAAAAAAAGATATAATTTATGTTAAAAATTTTTCTCTGTTGAAGCAAAAAGGAATGATAAACTTGAAGAGGCTGGGGTGCCTTTTCAAAGTGGCTGCAGAGTAGTACTGACCAACCCAACAGCTAGCCCTGAGCAGAGACCCAGGTGCTGCTGCCTTCCCTGCCTCAGTTTCTTTACGAAATGAAAAGGCACCTCAATCTAAGACACTGCCTCATTATTCTTGGATTCCAAGAACAGAGCACACAGAGCACCGTTCTTAGTAGCCTTCTTCCCACCTGCTGGGGCCTCAGACCTTTCTCATGATCTGGTCAGTCCTGTCTGCTGCTGCCGCCTCTTGGCTAGCTCATACCAGCAGTTCCCTCTGGACCCTAAACACCTGAAAACTGCATCTGGAGCCGGGTGTGGTGGTACATGTCTGTAATCCCAGCACTCAAGAGGCTAATACAAGAAGCTGGAACACTCCAGGCCATCCTGGACTATCTCAAAACACAGAAACAAAAAAGACAAAACCACAAAACCCATGCACCTGCATCTTCTACGGAGGATGAATTCTTCCACTTAGTAAACTCTCCTCAAAAACAAGATGAGAACATGCCAGCTTTTCCCTCCAAAGGGCTTTGATCTGTGTGTGTGTGTGTGTGTATGAATGGGGTTTGAACTCAGGGTTTTGTGCTTATTAAGGCAGGAACTCTACCACTTGAGTCACATCTCCAGCCCATTTGAGCTGTCTTAATGTAAAGATAAACTTTTTTTGTTACTGTAGCTGGTGGTTTATTTGTCTGGTTCCCCTAGTCAAAGAACAAATTTTGTTTCTGTTTTCTCACTAGTTCCTATTTTTATTACCATTTGTCCTTAGAATCTTTCCTGCAGCTAAGCAATGAGCTGTATATGGCACATGACACTCATATTTGAATATTGGTTTACAAAGTTATGTCTGCAATACATGCAATGAAATTCCTGGCAAAATGCTACCAGATAGAATGGTTTCTTTTGATATTTATGTAGTTGAATTACTTGACTGGATTTTATTTTTCATGAGCAGCATTTACACACAAATAAAATTACTTTCAAATAGAGAAGAAACGTTGTAACACAACTTCTAAGGGAAGCTTTCCCAAATCAACACCTCCACACTGGGTGTTCTTTCTATGTGCCCCCAAACCTCCTGAGATAAGTGTCATTGCTGCTGTTACTTAATATCTAGAAGGTGAGGCATGATGGCACATGTATGACTATAGTTCCAGCTACTAGGGAGGCTAAAGGCCCTTTAGCGGTCAGCACTTTGGCAACATAGCAAGACTGTCTCAAATCAGATAAGACCCAAAGTATGGTTTACACCCACACTGTCTTAATCCTCATTAGATCCATTTTACAGATGAAGCAAGTTAGTAAGAGGAACTCACTAGCTCAAGGCCACAAAACAAAACTCTGGTGGGTGGCCAGTGAACCCATAGTTTTAACCCCCGCACCTCACCCGTACTTCCCCTAACTCTGGCTCTTTTTTGACTGTTATTGCTTATTTACTGGTCTCTACTACCCACCAGCCCTAGTATAAGGACTTCATCTATCTGGCCTCCCACTGGTTTCCTGTGGATATATCACATAGCAATAGCTCAGTGGTCATTTGCTGACAAACACACCTTAACCATTCAGAAAAACCTGTTGAGGCTTCCATTCCTAGACAGATAATGGGTCTAACCAGGGAGGTTTGTTAACTAGACCAAATCACTTCCCCCATCTAGTTCTACCATGTTTAACTCAGTCACAATACCAAAGCCAAATACATAAAGAAACAAACAAATCTATCCTAGCTACTCAGGAAGCAGAGATCAGGCGGATCGAAGTTTGAAGCCAGCACCGGGCTGACCCTATCTTGAAAACATCCAACACAAAAAAGGGCTGGCAGAGTGGCTCAAGTGGTAGAGTGCCTGCTTAGCAAGTGTGAAGCCTTGAGGTCAAACCCCAGCATCATTTAAAAAAAAAAAAAAAGACAAATACACCCAAACTCTTCTCCCTTCATAGGGAAATAGGAATGCTGATTCAAAATCACTTCGACGCCACTTTGAGGCCTTCCAAGGAATAAAAACTAAAAACAAACTCCAAAGCTGGGTCCAGCAGCACACACCTGTGATCTCAGATATTCAGGAGGCTGAGCTTCTTCCTCAAGACTCCAGTGAGGGCCTGAGGGTGTGTTTCAAATGGTAGAGTATTGCCCAAGGCCTTGGGTTCATTCCCCAGTGGTGCAAAAACTAAACCAAAACTCCAGTAACTCACTAGAGTGAAGGATGTTGCATAGTAGTTCTGGCCTGGCATGTGAAGCCCCACTAGACAAGGTGAGAGTGAAAGAAAGAAAAGGCGGACAGGCAGGCAGAAGGAGTCTGCATGTTGGCCCCACCTCAGAGATACCAAACCAGATTCTGCAATACAAGACTCCCCTGGTAATTTACAAAGTTGAGGTGGAGAGCAGAGTTTAATATTGAAATGTCATTAGGGTATAGAGGTTAAAAAAAAAAAATCAACAGATTGGAAAAGGGAAGAAGAAGAAGAAAAAAAAAAAAGGCCCTTACTCAGAAACCGTATTTTAAAGGATCATAGAAATTAAGATTATCTAGCTCTGGAGGGAGAAGCTAGGAAGAAATAAGAACCATGAATACAGGGCCATAACAAAGCTCGATCCCAATTCTTTAGGCTTGGAGATCCCTAAGGAAGATGTAGTACAATTTCTGAGATCTTCATGAGGGTCCTTAATATATTCATTTCTTAGGGAGCCCCACAACAACCTCATGAGATGGACACTCTTATTTATTTACTTTTGGTGGTACTGGGATTTGAACTCTGGGCCTCACACTTGCTAGACAGGCATTCTACCACTTAAGCCATTCCACTCGTCCTTTTTTGTGTTGAGTATTTTTGAGATTGGGGGGGCGGTCTCAGGAACTATTTGCCTGGGTCTGGCTTCAAACCATGATCCTATCTCTGCCTCCTGGGTAGCTAGGATTACAGGGTCACCAGTGCCTGGTGAGATGGGCAGTGTTACAGACATCCCCACAATACAGATGAGGAAACTCAGGCTTCATCCAACTAGATTGTTCTTCTGCTTATAAATCTTCTCTGCTCCCTATGGCCTATAACAGCAGCAATCAAGGAACAGTATGTAAGACATCAGAGTTGTGACAATGTAGATTCTTGAAACTCTGGTTCAAAAGGCCCAGGAAGTACCCTGGAATCTGAATCTGTAACCTTAACGAGTGCTCAGGGGATACTGATCCAAAATAACTAATACACACAATCCACAAGACCAAACTCCTTGGCCTGATGATTAAGACCTACTCTGAATCGAGCCTGGTCACATGCCTGTAATACCAGTACTTGGGAGGCTGAGGCAAGAGGATCAAGAGTTTGAGGCTAGCCTGGACTACATAGCAAGAACATGTCTAAAAAATAAAAAGATGTCAACCTGGAGCCTCAATGCTCATGTCAAACAACAGCTACTCTTCATTGACTACTTATGGGCCACCTCCTGCACAGGGGCTTTGTGTCTGCTCTGGTATGCACTGTTACACAGTTGATTAAACTCTCAACAAAAGGTAGTTCTTATTTCTAATTCTTACAAAGAACACATTAAGCTTGCATTAGCACCATTTATTGTCAAGGACTGCAAAAGCCACTTTTCTAGAATTCCAGTCAGTCCTTACAAGCACTAATTAAGATGAGGCAGAATTGCCTATGGGAAAACTGAGGACAAAGGAGTTAAATAACTTCCCCAGGGTTAGTTACACAGCCATCAAATGGAACATCCAGGATGTAAACTGAAGCAATCTGACTTTAGATCTTAGGCTCTTAAGGAATATATATGCCAAATGCTCTTAAGCCTGTCCTGACACAGCAAGCTCCCACCTACACACTCTTAAAAGAGTAAATTAAATAATAGGACACTGAGATTGTTTAGAAAGGTGAAGTGTGATGTCATCTGTCTTAGGACAATGAGCTTGAGAGCAAGAATACAAGAGAAATTCAGGGCTGTGACTCCTAACCCCTCATCTTGTGTTGTGCCACCATGACAATCTAACTTGTCAAACCATGAAGAAAGAAAAGATGCCAGTAGCTCTTAACACCTGGGGAAAGTGAGTCCTCCCTGCCCAGCTGCAGACCTCCTGGCCCTCAGAATGAGCTTCCAGGCCCTACCAGGACATGCACCCCATGGTCACATGGTGCTCACGTGTCTTTCTCCTTCTCAGAGCTCTCATACTCCAGGAACACGATGTGCCGGGGGTAATGGCCACAGATATCCCCATTCACATTTGGAATCACGCTGAAACAGTAGTCTCGACCAAACAGTTCCAGACATCTCTTCTCAATGCGCTCAACCTGCATAGAATAGGAGACATGAGTATGCAGAAGATTTCTGGGTTCTGAGCATGAGAATTAAGTAGCCCATTACCTGGAGGTCACTGGGATTGACATGTGCTTCTGTTATTGTATTATTTAACTCTGTTAAGACAATATGGGTCCTTCACATTCATTAACCCATATGTAGTATGCTTTAGGAAGGACCCTGATCCCCCTGGAAACTGAATATGAAGCTGTATGTGTTCACTATTTGAGGGAGATCATAGCTTTCATTAACTTCAAGTTAACACAACCCATAAAATACAAGAACTCTTGCTGGGTGTGGTGGTACACACCTGTAATCCCAGCACTTGGGAGGATAAGGCAGGAGAATCATGAATTTGAGGGCAGCCTGGTCTACACAGTAAGACCCTGTCTCAAAAAAAACAACAAAAAGAACCTTGTTCTAAATAACTGTAACTGATACTAATCCATCACCTTCCTTTGACACCAGATTCTTATTCTCAAGTCCCAGTCTAGCACCTTGATGCTCTACTTGGCGTAATTAAAAGCTGCAGACAGAGCTGTCTCTTTACACACCATCTGCTTATAAAATAGAAGGCACAGCTCCCCCTAAAACTGCTCATTTTGTTCATAGTTCAGCGAAAGGCCCACTAGGAAAAAAAAATTTAAGGGACTGGGGTGGGGCTCAAGTGTCAGAGAGCCTGCCAAAGCAAGCATGAGGTCTTGAGTTCAAACGTCATTACACCACAAAAAAAAAAAAAAAAAGGGAAAAAGGCTCATTAAGACCTGTAACATCTCAAGAACGATGCAAGAAAGCCACACATGGTGGTCCACTAGGAAGGCTAAGACAGGAAGATCTCAAGTTCAAGGCCAGTCTGGACTACATAGCAAGGCCCTGCCTCAAAAAAACAACAACAACAAAAAAACAAAAAAAACCTTTGCAGATCAGGAGGGCATTAAAGCTTAAAGCTAGTTGTGAAGCAGGCTAGAGTTAGAGTGAGGGAAAGTTCGGAACTCACAGAAAATATGACTTAATATTTTATGTGCGTGTAGGTTGCCTATGCCCTGGCTCAGAGAAGGTTCCAACCACCCAGACCTTGCCCAGGACCGCCCATGCCCTTCCCCACTCATTGATTATTGGATGGGAATCACCTGGTTCTTCTCTCACCACAGGTTAGTGTAGGTTTTAAAACACCTGGAAAGGGGGAAGCATGTTTTCTGCTTCCAACTTCCACTTGGGTCCACCATGCTCCCTTTTGTACTTCCCTTCCCTTAGTTTTAATAAACCTCAGTTACACCCACGTGTCCTGCCATGGATTCGGAAGTCTTCTGATCACATATTGCACCACTGCCATTAACAGTTGCAGTGAAAGTCAGTTGTAACAACCCTAATCTTCAAGGATGTGTAAAATGGAAAAGGGGTCCACTGTCTTTCTACAGCCACACAAAAGACCCTCTTTGAAGAGTATCCAAAGACCAGTGGGAAGGAAACAAGTCACAAGCAGGGGATCCTCAAATTTCAGGGCAACTATTATTAAAAAGCCCAGCCAGGTGTCAGTGGTTTATGCCTGCAATCCTAGTTACTCAGGAGGAGAGATCAGGAAGATCGAGGTTCGAAGCCAACCCGGACAAATAGTTCATGAACCCTATTTCGAAAAACCCTTCACTGGTGGAGTGGCTCAAGGTAGAGGCCCTGAGTTCAAACTCCAGTGCTTAAGAAAAAAAAAAAAAAGCCTGTCAAAATGCAAATTCCAGGGCTGGGAGTAGTGACACATATCAGCTACTTAGGAGATAGAATCACAGTCCAAGCCTGACCCCAGGCAAAAAACTCTGAGGAAAAATAAACTAAAGCAAAAAGGACTGGGAGTGGGGCTCAAGTGGTAGAGCACCTACCCAGCAAGCTCCAGGCCCTGAGTTCAAGGCCCAGTATCACACACACACACACAAAAGCAAATTCTACTTTCCCACACCCAGAAGGTATGACTTAGTCGGACTATGTAGGACCAAGGAGTCTTATTTTTAACAAGTATCCCACATGATGCCAACCACGCTCTGAAAAACACTTGGTGTTTAGCAAATGAGGAAGCCCCAACTTCCCTGGGTCATCTCAGAGACCGGTAATTCCCACCTGCAGCATGTCCCAGCCTAGGTAACCTCTGGAACCAAATCAGTTTTGTGGCTCAGAATGGAAGAGAAGAGAATCCTGTTGGAAAACCTGATTAAAATGCCAAACCCACGTGGGGAATGAAAAATGGCAGGGTAAGATTCCCATTCCACCACCAGCCAGTGCTCACGAGGTTTGGCGGTCACTGGAAGCCTTTCAGGTCTGGTGATTAGATAGATGGCCTGAGGGAAATCCCAAGGGGTGGGGGCAAAGAGGAACTGAGAACTTCTGATAAAGTAATGGAGGGGGTGGTTGTCTTCCTGCTCTGTAGGGGAAGGGCTTAATTCACGCAGGGACCTTATAAGGAGGCCTCACGCTCAGTTTCTCTCTTCGCTCCGTTCTGCACCACTACACTTAACCCCTTCATTCTGACCTCTGACCTGGAAAAAGCCTCTCCGTATTTTTACTTAGATTGTGGGTTCGTGTCCTGACACCAACCCCTTCTAGACACCCGAAGCAGGATAACTTTTCTTAGTTTCTCCTCTCTAACCTTTGTGCCTGGCCCCACAGCCCTGACCTCCAACCCCCTTGTCTCAAACCCAAAGGACGTCCTTCCTCTACTACTTCAGACCCTTATTCCTCCTTGTATGGCTTCTAAGCCCGGCCCTTCCCTTCGAGTCCAGCCCCTAGAGAAGCCCCCTCTCTCCAGTTCCTCAGCAGGGAGGTCCCACTCCTATGTTCCTCTGCCCCCTGATCTCAGCATTCCTCTGTAACGCCCCAAACCAGTGCGCTCTGCGCTCACCTTAGAGCCGCTCGACCCGCTGCCGTCCTTGGCCCGGTACTGAGTCCGCGAGAACTCCTCCAGCAACTCCCCGAGCCCCGGCTCCTGCGGCGGTGGGTTGCCTGAAGAGGCAGAGGACCCCGCCGAAGCGGCGGCGGCGGCCCGAGCGCCGGCCATGGCCCCGCCCCACGTCCCTTCAGTGAGCTTCACACCAGCCCATGGCACCCGGAGGCACCGACTCCAACTCCGCAAGCTCCCGAACCTCTTCAGCCGCCGCCTTCTTCTTCCACTTCCGGCCCCGCCCCACCTAACCGGATGTTTACTCCGGATCTAGCCAATCGGAGTCCAGGACTCGCGCCATGCCCCTCACCTCTGACGCGGAGCGATCCAAGTGGTCTCAGGGAGGGGAACGCCGCCGCTCGCAGACTCCGCGTGCTCTTCCCCACGGGGTTTCCCCCGGGGAAGCCGGGCAAAACCATTGGGGCTGCCGGCGGGGGGGGTCAATGCGGGAACTAGTAGGAAGGAACCAGAGGTAAGAACCAGAAGAAGAGTGGAATAAACCATTACAGAGAGAGGAGGAAAGAACGCTGGGAAGCAATCAATTGGCGCTGACAACCAAATTAACAAGAGTAACTAATATTAAAATAGCACTTCATAAGACACTCTTCCACTGCTTCTCACATCGTGCCTGTGAGTATAGTGCATTGTATCATCAACTTTATTTTATTAAGGAAGATGTTTAAAAAGTGCCCTTTTCTCTCTTCCTTTATTCTTTAATAGAGTATTTCAGACGTTCGCAATAGTGGAGATAATAGTGTACTGGTCCTTCGTGTATGTATTAGCTCCTTTCAACAATAACATAAGTAGTCTCTCCTGTTTAATCAGTCCCTCCTCGCCCAGGGAATTATTTTAAAGCAAATTTCAAACACTACATTATTTCATCTGTGAATAGTATTTGTCTATAACAGATTAGTTGGTTTTTTAACAAAAATACATAATCACCAGGCCATTAATATCCTTAACAAAATTCCTTAACATTTCTTAATATGATCTTAATACCAAGTCCTCATTTCACCTCAGACTCACAGTTGTCATTTTTTGGTGGGATTGGGGTTTGAATTTAGGACTGCATGCTTGCAAAGCAAGTGCTCTGCTCTGGTTATGTTGGAGATGGGGGTCTCCCGAACTGTTTGCCCAGGCTGGCCTGGAAACTTGATCCTCCTGATCTCAGCCTTCCAAGCAGCAAAAATTACAAGTGTGAACCACTTGGCCTGGCAGTTGTAATTATTTTTATTGAAGTATGATACACATATTGTTAATGGCAATGGTGCTGTCTGTGATTAGAAGACTTCCAAAAGTCTTTGTGTCCCGAGTGGAAGAAGCCATAGCAGGACATGTGGGTGTAATTGGAGTTTATTAAAACTTAGGGAAGTACAAAAGGGAGCATGGTGGGCCCAGGTGGAAGTTGGAAGCAGAAAACATGCTTCCCCCTTTCCAGGTGTTTTAAAACCTACACTAACCTGTGGAGAGAGAAGAACTAGGTGATTCCCATCCAATAACCAATGAGTGGGGAAGGGCATGGGCGGTCCCTGGGCCAGGTGAGAGTGGTCTGAGTCATCTCTGAGCCTACACACACATGCAATATTAAGTCATATTTTCTATGAGTCCTGAACTTTCCCTGACTCTAGCCTGCCTCAATATCAGCACCCTAGAAGCTCCCTCCTGCTCTGACAATGGACCAGCCAGGTTGGCCCAGTTCCCCAATACCTGGAGAAAATTTCACCTCAAAGATTCTGTTGCCTTGTGTAGGGGATGTTGATTACTTACAATAAAATTCACCCACTTTAATTGTGCATGTTGAGTATTGTCAAATTTAAACTACCACCATAATCAAGATATTGAACATTGGTGTCTCCTGCAGAATGTTCCCCTCCCAGTCCACCCCACCAATCCTGGTCCCCAGGCAACCACTGATTCCCTTTCTGTTACTCGATGCTCCTATAAATGGAATCATACAATGTGCACTCTTCTGCATCTGGCTTCTTAGCAGATTTAATTTTGTTTTTAATTTGCATAACCCTGATTAATGAAGTCAATCACCTTTTCCACATTTATTGCTGGTTTGAATATTTTCTTTTGAGTTGGACTAATGAATGTCTTTTGCCCATCTGTCTACTGACTTGTCTGTGGGTTTTTTGTGGGGGGGAGGGTGTGGCACTGGGGAATGAACTCGGGGCCTCATACTTCCTAGGAGGCAGGTACTGTTTTTTGTTTTGTTTTGTTTTGTTTTTTTGTGGTACTGGGTTTGAGCCACTCCTCCAACCCTTTTTTCTGTGATGTGTTTTTTCGAGATAGGGTCTTGATAACTATTTGCCTGGACTGGCTTTGAACCTCGATCCTCCTCATCTCTGCCTCCAGAATAGCTAGGATTATAGGCACAAGCCACAGGCACCCCACTGCTTTTGTTTTTGGTGAAATATATGTATTGCAAAGACCTTCTGTCATTCTCTGACTTGCCTTTTCACCTTTCTAATGTGCCTTTTGGTAAACAGAAGTAATTAATTACTTTTAATGTAGTACAACTTGCTCACATTTTTCTTTCTTTTTTTTTTGGTGGCACTGGGATTTGAACTCATGGCTTCAGACTTGCTAGTCAGGTGCTCTTACTGCTTGAGCCACTCAACCAGCTTTCTTTCTTTTTTTTTTTTTTATATTGAATAATTTGTGCATCAAGATTAACAAATCTTTGCCAGCTGGTGATGTAGGTTTGTGATAGACACTTAGCATACTTGAGTCCCTGGGTTTGATTTCCAGCACCATATAAAAATAAAATGTTACACATGGACTAATCCTAGCTACTGGGGAGGCTGAGATCTGGAGGACCATGGTTCAAGGCCAGCTCTGGCAAATAGTTCAAGAGATCCCCACCTACAAAATAATCAAATCAAATGGACTAGAGGTGTAGCTCAAGTGGTACAACTCCTGCTTTGCAAACACAAGCCCTGAGTTCAAACCCCAGTTCCACCAAAAAAAAAAAAAATACAAATGGGAAAAAAAAATCTGTTTACTCCTAGGTTCTAAAGATCTTTTCCTAGGGCTGAGGGTACAGATCAGTTGGGAACATGTACCAGGACCTGGGTTCAATCCCCAGCACTCACAATAAAAAAATCCCTATATTTTTCTTGTAGAGGTTTTAGTGTAATTTCACTTATATTAAGGTCTATGATGATGCATCTGTACTTTTTTGTCATCCAAGGAGTTTGTTTTTTGGATGTTTGTTTATTTTTGGAGGGGTTGCTTTTTACTTTTTGAGACAGAGTCTCACAGTATAGCCCAAGCTGGCCTGAAACTCATGATCCTCCTACCTCAGTCTCCCAAGTGGTAGGCATACAATACCACAGTGGTATTGGAGTTTGAACTCAGGGCATTGTGCTTACTTAGACAAGTGCTCTACCACTTGAGCTATATCTCCAGCCCCTTTTGTTCTAGGTTATGTTTTAGATAGGGTCTCTTTTTTTTTTTTTTTTTTTTTTTGGCCAGGGGTAGGCCTCAGACACTTGGCTTGTTTTGTTGAAATGGGGTCTTCCTAAATTTTTGCCTTGGCTGGCCTCGAACCAAAATTCTCCCAATCTTCCGCTCCTGAGTAGCTGATATAGATATGAACCACTGTGCCTGGCAGAGGCCCCCCCAGGTTTTTTTTAAATGGATTTTTGCATTTACTGTTAAGTAGCAGTAAAAAGTAGTTCACTTTGATAAAAGAAAAAATGCTGAGATGTTCTAGAAAAGGAGGGGAGGCGACAAATTAATGGTTCCAGGGCAAAAATGACAAGACTTTTATGTTCATAAATGTATTTGCAGCCTTCACTTGAAACCCTAGGCAGGTGACACCCCAGTCACCGCTGCATCCTGTTCTGAACCCCAACCAGTCCGGCAGCAAATTATTTCTTACAGCTGCCCTCCTATCCCAAAACTCTCCCTGCTTGTGTAATCCTACCTTTGTTTTTGTTTTTTTGACAGTGTGTTGCTTTGTAACCCAGACTGACCTCTAGCTTACATCCTCCTGCTTCAACCTCCTCAGTGCTAAGATTACAGGTGCACACCACACAGTCTGCTGCTCACTCTTCTTATCTATAACCAAAGCAGGTTCAATTTAAACAATTTATGCCTTGCCAGGGTGGTGGCACACAGCTGCAATCTCAGCTACTCCAAGCTTACTTGGGAAGCTGAGACAGAAGGATCAAAAGTTCAAAGTCTGCTTGGGCAATTTAGCAAGACCCTGTCTCGACAAAAAACAAAGAATAGCTGGGGATATAGCTCAGTGGTAGAGTGCTTCTGTAACCGGAGTAAAATGGGCTGGAGGTGTGGCTCAAGCAATAGAGTGCCTGCTTTGCAAGCACAAAGCTCTGAGTTTAAACTCCAGTCCTGCCACCCCAAAAATTTGCCCTTTGCTCCAGTCCAGAGGACATTTTCCAACTGCTCATTTTCTCTGATTGCTGGAGGTTGTGAAAACCTGTCCCAAGGCCTGATCTTTTTTTCTGGGTAGTATCTGCAATGGCTCCACAAATCTTTTTATTTCAGAGATCCCTGAGTCTCAAGAGTTTTGGGTTAGCCTTTTTTACAAGGCTATCTAATTTACCCAAGGGCATTTGCTGAAGAGGCCATATTGTCATACTGCAGTGCCACCTTTGACATAAGTGGTCACATGTAAGCGTAAGTGTCATTTCACAGTCATTTCTTCCATTCAAGACCTAAACTGCTGGGTGCTGGTGGCTCACACCTGTAATCCTAACTACTCAGGAGGCAGAGATCTGGAAGATGGAGGTTCAAAGCCAGCCCAGCAGTAGCGTGCCTGCCTCAGAAGCACAAAACCCTGACTTCAAACCCCAGTATTACCTCAAAAAATAAAATAAAAGATGCAAACAAGACTTTCCATTCTAGCCTTGGCCTTGGACCCTGCAGATGCTGTCATGTTAATGTCCAGCAAGAACTAGACTGCAATTCATGAACTCCTTTTTAAGGAGACAGATGGTTGCCAACAAGGCTTCGTACCCCAGAGGTGGCAGGCAAGCATGTTCCAGGAAGGCCCTGATGTCTCTCAAGTCTATGTGTAGACACAGTTTGCCCGGAGACCTTTCTACTGGTACCTTCCTAACAAGGGTAGCCCATTACCTTTACCTGCTCCAGAGATGGTGCCTGGCCCCCTGCACCAAAGGTCTGGAGGGCGGGCCACCTGCAAAGCTCACAAGAAGGGAAGGAACAGAGACACCTAGAGAGGGAGTGCTGTGCCCCCTGGTGTTGACAAGAAGCAAGGCTGG